AGCCATACACTGACTGCGCGAGCTGTCGACAGCTCTCGCGCAGTTACCTCCGCCCACTTTCTTCATTCCACGGCGCGCGCGCTTGTGATTTGTTGAGCAGTTAATACCAACTGCTCGAGCAGTTATCACTGGCAGCTTCAAGCTGATGACTGCAAGAGCGGTCCGTGTTATCCGTGTATGTTGATCACTAACTGCTCGAGCTGTCCGTGTATGGCGGGCCTTATCCCTCCCGTGCCGCTTCCATACCTCAGGCATTCACTGACTTAAGCACTAGAACTATAGAAATAACTTTTCAATCGGTATTTAATACAGGGTGGTCGTGTTTGTACATAATGTATCCTTGACATGTTTTTAAATCAATTTATTTTAAAACGTAAAAAAATAGCCACCCTGTGTTAATTTGGTTGGTCGTATTACATTTCCAGCAATGTTACTGTGCTTCCTAAGCTTAAAATGTAGATTTATAAATATTTCGTAACTTAAATTATATTTTAGTATGAAAATGCAATTCTTACCGCAATATGGGAATATTAATAAAAATATTTTAAAACCTTGACTGTAATGTCTTTTTACCTTCAAATTCCTCTAAAGCCAATTTACAAGATTTTTGCTTCTGCTAAATGCTACTACAAATTAATGTCTAAATTCCAAAACTAAATAAGATTAAATAAAGAAAGATTTGATTTGATAAATAATAAAATCATTGTAAATTAAATTAAATTCTCTTATAATTTCTTATAGCTACATATAATTTCTAATGCAATCTTTTAATATGATATCGTGTGTGTAAGCCACGAAATAATTTGTCAATGCTTGAAAAGATTTTATAGATGAAAGAAAACTTTCTCTAAAATTAGATTTGGTTACTCTGTTTTGTAAAACTTCCAGAAAAAAAAACAATGCTTAATCCATACAAGAAAATAACAAAAATATACTTAAGTAAATAAATTTCACCCTGTATATCTAACAACATGACTTCTTTCAAAGACATTAGTATGTGACCACACCAATGTGCCACTAGAAGGTCTTTCCTATCTTCCAAGGTATTGATTCCTAGATGAAAACTTACTGCCATAAGAAAGTTATCTATGAGAAATTTTCTCGCCAACATCTCTAATATTATATTTTATTTATGTATGTATACTGACACTCGAACATAGATTGACCCGATGTATTTCAACGAATCACTGACTTTTTTGAAATTCGCTACGTAATGGACTGTTCGTGTTCATCTAAAATGTAATATCAATAAGTATACAGATAACTGGATATGAAATCCATAGTTTTATTTAGACTTGAAGACGGGCACTCGGATAACAGAGTAGGAATGTATTTCATTAGTTCATTCAGTTATTTACCAACCGAAATCATTTAAATTCCATAAAAAACGCAGTATGTACTGTAATATTATATGTAATAGACCTAGTTTTTTAAAAGCACTAGATGAACTTATGATGTATAGTTTGATAAAGTCCGTAGATTTCCTCTATGCAAAATCATAGGGTGTAGAAATGACGGCAAGACAGGTTTTCACTTGTTAAATAAATATTTTAGATTTAAGTAAGACATTTTTTGTATAACTTCCACCTCACTAGTAAAATTGCTAAAGGATTTTTCAGGTTGTATTCGTTTTGTTCTTCTCATGTATGTAACGATAGAATTTTCGTTTATGAGGGTATTAATGCTAGAAAATTACATGTACCTACCTTCAAAAAGATGACAGTTGCTTAAGTGGGTGGCAGTGTACTTTTAATTTAGAGTGCCTAAAGTGGGTATATTATTAGAACCGTGTTAAATGAACTTATGTTAGAAGATGAACTCTACCTTCTTCTGTAAATGCCTTAAACACGATTCTGAACTGTATATTGCGATCGGTAATAAATGTTAATAGAAATTATTGTTTTATTGCAGGATATCCAATTTTATGACGGCGAGTAAATGAGGCCTATAGTCCGGTCGCCGAGCACGTAGAATTTTGTCCAATGACCCCAAGCTACCCATCCTTATCGCTCGCGTGTAATTATATTGCTGTCGCGACTGTGCGACGGGCGGTCGCAGTGAGTGTGCGAATTATTTTTGTGTCATTTTAACATCTAATTTTAGGGTTTTCGATATCATCATACAATGACATAGTTTGTATGCGCTGTCAAAACATGATTAACTTTTCTCCCTTATATTTTGTATGGCAATACAGGCCGATGATGTCACTATTTTGCAAACTCAGTTTTACCAATTTCACAGCGAAGGAAAGTTACATTTTCAGTGTTATAAGTTAACACCAGAATGAGGTGCGCTTTTTTGATGCTATCGTAAATGGTGTCAAATATCTGATTCTCCCCATAATATTTTTATAATATTATGAAGAGAGCAAAATGAAAAACCGTAATTTTCTGAGTTTGTTTGTAAAGTGACGTCTTACCCTTTATTCCTTTTTTCCTAATTTGCTTTTAAATTCTGTCCTTGACAATATCCAAAGCCGCTTAAAGCGCTTTCACTTTTAGGCGATTTAGCAGCGCGACAAACGCGCTACTGACGCGCTGCCGAAAATTTCATACTATGGGACAACGGATGCATGCTTTCACATTATAAAAACGCTGCTGCCGCGCTACAGTCGCGTTACTAACGTCCTAATGTGAAAGCGCTCGTAAAATGTGATTATTTGTAAGGGTATATATGTTACGGCTAAAGATAGGTATGAACATAAACTTAAGATTAGCCGGCTAAACTTAAGTTTATCTTCGAGAAGCAGCTAAACTTCGATAACATGTTAGTTTGCGTCGTGATATTCCATCTTTAGCCGGCTAATGTGCACATTAGCCAAAACGAAACGGCTAAAAATATATTAAATGGGCGCGCCAGGCCGGCCATATTATTTAACAATTGTGACTAGATATTGTTTAAAGTAATTAACACTGAAGAAGTTTTATTTTGTATCTTTAAATACCTACAGAAGATTCTGTAATGACCAAATGGTTCCTTATTATTTTATTTTAATGATTAGGTAGACTTTATTGTTTTAAGTAGGATATTTTCCTACTATATATTTTGTTATTGTAATAATTGTAATTTTGAATACCTCTACTAGGTACATAAAAGTATGTGTAAAGAAAGTGATTATTTTTAATAAAGTTTTCGTGTCAAAATAGTATACATTATTACATTGTTTCCTTTTCCATTTCCTTCTACAATTTTAGCCAAGGGCCTGCGGTTACACTTAAGTTTAGCCGGCTAAAGATAGAAGAAACTAACATTAACACCTCGTCGAAGATAAACTTAAGTTTAGCCGGCTAATCTTAAGTTTATGTTCACACCTATCCTTAGCCGTAACATATACATTTAAACGCGCTCACTAGTGATGTAAGTAAATTCACACTCAGCCCACAGTACACACAAACACAACCTCATTTTACAATTTTATAATAATATTATAAAATTGTTATAAAATAATAATATTATAAAATTGTTATAAAATAATAATATTATAAAATTGTAAAATGAGGTTGNCGCCGCCTGCACGGACCACGCGCGACCAGCGTGGCTGGACCAGCTGGTGACGTCACATGTTGACAACTAAGCGATTGTAATACTGGGCGACAATCGCGGCGACTAGACGCGTGTACAAAATACGCGCCCGCGCGTCATTTCATATACTAGCTTGTCGTCATGACGCGCCCGCCCACACCTCCGCCGCCTGCACGGACCACGCGCGACCAGCGTGGCTGGACCAGCTGGTGACGTCACATGTTGACAACTAAGCGATTGTAATACTGGGCGACAATCGCGGCGACTAGACGCGTGTACAAAATACGCGCCCGCGCGTCATTTCATATACTAGCTTGTCGTCATGACGCGCCCGCCCACACCTCCGCCGCCTGCACGGACCACGCGCGACCAGCGTGGCTGGACCAGCTGGTGACGTCACATGTTGACAACTAAGCGATTGTAATACTGGGCGACAATCGCGGCGACTAGACGCGTGTACAAAATACGCGCCCGCGCGTCATTTCATATACTAGCTTGTCGTCATGACGCGCCCGCCCACACCTCCGCCGCCTGCACGGACCACGCGCGACCAGCGTGGCTGTACCGGCTGGTGACGTCACATGTTGACAACTAAGCGACTGTAACACTGGGCGACGATCGCGGCGCCTAGCTAGACGCGGGCGCGGCCACAAAACGCGCGAGCGTCATTTCATATACTAGTTTGTCGCGACGCGCCCGCCCACACTTCTGCTGCTTGTAGGGACCAAGTGCGCGACCCAGCATGGCTGTACCAGCTGGTGACGTCACATGTTGACAACTAAGCGACTGGCACACTGGGCGACGATCGCGGCGTCTAGCTAGACGCGGGCGCGGCCACAAAACGCGCGAGCGTCATTTCATATACTATGTAGTTTGTCGCGACGCGCCCGCCCACACTTCTGCTGCTTGTACCGACCACGAGCGCGACCAGCATAGCAGCTGGTGACGTCACATGTTGACAACTAAGCGACTGGGACACTGGGCGACGATCGCGGCGACTAGATGCGGCTACATACTTAACACGCGCCCGCCCACACTTCTGCTGCCTGGACAGACCAAGCGCCACTCCAGCATGGCTATACAAGCTGACGTCACTATAACACTGATCGACTAATTATGTTGCTGTCGCGCTCGCACACTCACTGCGGGCGCCCGTCGCACAGTCGCGACAGCAATATAATTACGCGCGAGCGACAAGGATGGGCAGCTTGTGGTCATTGGACAAAATTCTACGTGCTCACAGACCAGGCTTTAGACGCGGCCACAAAACGCGCGCGCGCGTCATTTCATATACCTACTAGCTTGTCGTCGCGCAGTCGCGACGATTTAAAACGACAAAGCTAAATTTACTGCTTGTCAACATCAGAATGATAGGCGCTTTTTTATGTTGGTGTCAAATATCAATGTCCTGTCCTAGTTATTTGTAAAATGAGGTTTTGTTTTATTTAGGTTAGGTCGTGTGGGGGTAGAGTATTAAAATGAAAGTCCAAGTTGTATCAGGCGCGTGTATTCATAAGGCCTCGCTGCCGGGAGCGCGCGCGCCCAGCGCCGCCCCGCCCGCGCCCGCCCACACCTCCGCCGCCTGCACGGACCACGCGCGACCAGCGTGGCTGGACCAGCTGGTGACGTCACATGTTGCTAACCAAGCGACTGGGACACTGGGCGACAATTACGGCGACTAGACGCGTGAACATAACACGCGCCCGCCCACACTTCTGCTGCCTGTAGGGACCACGCGCCACTCCAGCATGGCTATACTAGCTGGTGACGTCACTAAGCGACTGCGCACACTGGGCGACTAGACGCGGCCACATAACGCGCGCGCGTCATGTCGTATATTAGCTTGTCGTCGCGACGACAGCTAATGTATGAAGTTGACAAGTCGCAGCGTCTGACGCCACAATTGTCGCCCAGAGTGCGCTGTCGCTTGACGTTTTACTAATTTTAAAGCGACTAAGGTACATTTTCAGTGTTTTAACATCAGAATGGGGCGTTTTTTTGTATTGCTGTTGTAAATGGTGTCAAATATCTAGGGAAGCCCAGTAATTTTGACAAGGTATTGTATGTAAAATGGGGTTGTGTGAGAGACTATTTCCCAGGGTATGTAGTTATTTCTCAGGGTACACATGAAATGAAAGTCCCAGTTGTATCAGGCGCGTGTATTCATAAGGCCTCGCTGCCGGGAGCGCGCGCGCCCAGCGCCGCCCCGCCCGCGCCCGCCCGCCCCCGCCGCGCGCCCGCCCACACCTCGGCTGCCTGCAGCGACCATGTACGGGACCAACGTGGCTGTACCAGCTGGTGACGTCACATGTTGACAACCAAGCGACTGGCACACTGGGCGACGATCGCGGCGACTAGACGCGACCACTTACTTAACACGCGCCCGCCTTTACGGACCACGCGCCACTCCAGCATGGCTATACAAGCTGGTGACGTCATTGTGTTGCTAACTAAGCGACTGCACTGAGTGACTAGACGCGGCCACAAAACGCCCCCGCGCGTCGTTTCATATAAGCTTGTCGTCGCGACAAAGTCGCGGAGTCGCGACGACAGCTAATGTATGAAGTTGACAAGTCGCAGCGTCTAGTCGCGGCGTCTGACGCCATAATTGTCGCCTAGAGTGCGCTGTCGCTTGACGTTTTACTAATTTTAAAGCGACTAAGGTACATTTGCAGTGTTTTAACACCAGAATGGGGTGTGTTTTGACAAGGTATTGTATGTAAAATGGGGTTGTGAGAGAGACTATTTCCCAGGGTAGGTATGTAGTTATTTCTCAGGGTATATAAAATGAAAGTCCAAGTTGTATCAGGCGCGTGTATTCATAAGGCCTCGCTGCCGGGAGCGCGCGCGCCCAGCGCCGCCCCGCCCGCGCCCGCCCGCCCCCGCCGCGCGCCCGCCCACACCTCGGCTGCCTGCAGCGACCATGTACGGGACCAGCGTGGCTGTACCAGCTGGTGACGTCACATGTTGACTACTAAGCGACTGGGACACTGGGCGACTAGACGCGGCCACATAACACGCGCCCGCCCTAACTTCTACTGGCTGTAGGGACCACGTGCGACCAGCATGGCTGTACCAGCTGGTGACGTCACATGTTGACAACTAAGCGACTGGGACACTGGGCGACTAGACGCGGCTACATAACACGCGCCCGCCCAAACTTCTGCTGCTTGTACGGACCACGCGCGGGCTCCAGCACATGGCTGTACTAGCTGATGACGTCACATGTTGACAACTAGCGACTGTAACACTGGGCGACTAGACGCGTGCACATAACACGCGCCCGCCCACACCTCCGCCGCCTGCACGGACCACGCGCGACCAGCGTGGCTGTACCAGCTGGTGACGTCACATGTTGACAACTAAGCGACTGGCACACTGGGCGACGATCGCGGCGACTAGACGCGTGCACATAATAGGCGCCCGCCCACACCTCCGTTGCTTGTACGAACCACGTGCGGACTCCAGCATGGCTATACAAGCTGACGTCACTATAACACTGGTCGACTAATTATGTTGCTGTCGCGCTCGCACACTCACTGCGGGCGCCCGTCGCACAGTCGCGACAGCAATATAATTACGCGCGAGCGATAAGGATGGGTAGCTTGGGGTCATTGGACGGGATTCTACGTGCTCACGGACCAGGCTTTAGACGCGGCCACAAAACGCGCGCGCGCGTCATTTCATATACCTACTAGCTTGTCGTCGCGGAGTCGCGCGATTTAAAGCGACAAAGCTAAATTTACAGATTGTCAACACCAGAATGATAGGCGCTTTTTTATGTTGGTGTCAAATATCAAATGTCCTGTCCGAGTAATTGTTTGTAAAATGAGGTTTTGTTTTTATTTAGGTTAGGTCGCGTGGGGGTAGAGTATTAAAATGAAACTTCAAGTTGTATCAGGCGCGTGTATTCATAAGGCCTCGCTGCCGGGAGCGCGCGCGCCCACACCTCCGCCGCCTGCACGGACCACGCGCGACCAGCGTGGCTGGACCAGCTGGTGACGTCACATGTTGACAACTAAGCGATTATAATACTGGGCGACAATCTCGGCGCCTAGCTAGACGCGGGCGCGGCCACAAAACGCGCGAGCGTCATTTCATACACTAGCTTGTCGCGACGCGCCCGCCCACACTTCTGCTGCTTGGACGGACCACGCGCGACCAGCGTGGCTGGACCGGCTGGTGACGTCACATGTTGACCACTAAGCGACTGGCACACTGGGCGACGATCGCGGCGACTAGACGCGGCTACATAACACGCGCCCGCCCACACCTCCGCTGCTTGTACGAATCACGAGCGGACTCCAGCATGGTTATACAAGCTGACGTCACTATAACACTGGTCGACTAAAGCCTGGTCCGGGAGCACGTAGACCCCAAGCTACCCATCCTTATCGCTCGCGCGTAATTATATTGCTGTCGCGACTGTGCGACGGGCGCCCGCAGTGAGTGTGCGAGCGCGACAGCAACATAATTACGCGCGAGCGACAAGGATGGGCAGCTTGGGGTCATTGGACGGGATTCTACGTGCTCACGGACCAGGCTTTAGACGCGGCCACAAAACGCGCGCGCTAGCTTGTCGTCGCAGAGTCGCGACGATTTAAAGCGACAAAGCTAAATTTACTGCTTGTCAACACCAGAATGATAGGCGCTTTTTTATGTTGGTGTCAAATATCAAATGTCCTGTCCTAATTATTTGTAAAATGAGGTTTTGTTTTATTTAGGTTAGGTCGCGTGGGGGTAGAGTATTAAAATGAAAGTCCAAGTTGTATCAGGCGCGTGTATTCATAAGGCCTCGCTGCCGGGAGCGCGCGCGCCCAGCGCCGCCCCGCCCGCGCCCGCCCGCCCCCGCCGCGCGCCCGCCCACACCTCGGCTGCCTGGAGCGACCACGCGCGACCAGCGTGGCTGTACCAGCTGGTGACGTCACATGTTGACAACTAAGCGACTGGCATACTGGGCGACGATCGCGGCGACTAGACGCGACCACATAACACGCGCCCGCTCTAACTTCTGCTGGCTGTAGCGACCACGTGCGACCAGCATGGCTGTACCAGCTGGTGACGTCACATGTTGATAACTAGCGACTGTGACACTGGGCGACGATCGCGGCCACTAGACGCGGCTACATAACACGCGCCCGCCCTAACTTCCGCTGCCTGCACGGACCACGCGCGACCAGCGTGGCTGGACCGGCTGGTGACGTCACATGTTGACAACTAAGCGACTGTAACACTGGGCGACGATCGCGGCCACTAGACGCGGCTACATAACACGCGCCCGCCCACACCTCCGCTACAAGCTGACGTCACTATAACACTGGGCGACTAGACGCGGCCACAAAACGCGCGCGCGTCATATCATATACTAGCTTGTCGTCGCGACGACAGCTAATATATGAAGTTGACAAGTCGCAGCGTTTAGTCGCGGCGTCTGTCGCCACAATTGTCGCCTAGAGTGCGCTGTCGCTTGACGTTTTACTAATTTTAAAGCGACTAAGGTACATTTTCAGTGTTTTAACATGAGAATGGGGCGTGTTTTTTTGTATTGCTGTTGTAAATGGTGTCAAATATCCAGGGAAGCCCTAATGTGTCCGAGTGTTATTTTGACAAGGTATTTTATGTAAAATGGGGTTGTATGAAAGACTATTTCCCAGGGGTATGTACCTAATTATTTCTCAGGGTATATAAAATGAAAGTCCAAGCTGTAACATAAGCGTGTATTCATAAGGCCTCGCTGCCGGGAGCGCGCGCGCCCAGCGCCGCCCCGCCCGCGCCCGCCCGCCCCCGCCGCGCGCCCGCCCACACCTCCGCCGCCTGCACGGACCACGCGCGACCAGCGTGGCTGTACCGGCTGGTGACGTCACATGTTGACAACTAGCGACTGTAATACTGGGCGACAAGCGCGGCCACATAACACGCGCCCGCCCACACCTCCGCCGCCTGCACGGACCACGCGCGGGCTTCAGCATGGCTATACAATCTGACGTCACTATAACACTGATCGACTAATTATGTTGCTGTCGCGCTCGCACACTCACTGCGGGCGCCCGTCGCACAGTCGCGACAGCAATATAATTACGCGCGAGCGATAAGGATGGGTAGCTTGGGGTCATTGGACGGGATTCTACGTGCTCACGGACCAGGCTTTATACGCGGCCACAAAACGCGCGCGCTAGCTTGTCGTCGCAGAGTCGCGACGATTTAAAGCGACAAAGCTAAATTTACTGCTTGTCAACACCAGAATGATAGGCGCTTTTTTATGTTGGTGTCAAATATCAAATGTCCTGTCCTAGTTATTTGTAAAATGAGGTTTTGTATTTGTGTGCGGTATTTTTGGTGGTAAATAAAAGTCCAAGCTGTATCAGGCGCGTGTATTCATAAGGCCTCGCTGCCGGGAGCGCGCGCGCCCAGCGCCGCCCCGCCCGCGCCCGCCCGCCCCCGCCGCGCGCCCGCCCACACCTCCGCCGCCTGCACGGACCACGCGCGACCAGCGTGGCTGGACCAGCTGCTGACGTCACATGTTGACCACTAAGAGACTGTTACACTGGGCGACTAGACGCGGCTACATAACACGCGCCCGCCCTAACTTCTGCTGGCTGTAGGGACCACGCGCGCCCCAGCATGGCTGTACCAGCTGGTGACGTCACATGTTGACAACCAAGCGACTGGCACACTGGGCGACTAGACGCGTGCACATAACACGCGCCCGCCCATACTTCTGCTGGCTGTAGCGACCACGCGCGACCAGCGTGGCTGTACCAGCTGGTGACGTCACATGTTGACAACTAAGCGACTGGCATACTGGGCGACGAGCGCGGCGACTAGCTAGACGCGGGCGCGGCCACAAAACGCGCGCGCGTCATGTCATATACTAGCTTGTCGCGACGCGCCCGCCCAAACTTCTGCTGCTTGTACGAACCACGAGCGGACTCCAGCATGGCTATACAAGCTGATGACGTCACTAAGCGACTAGATGCGGCCACAAAACGCGCGTGCGCGTTGTTTCATATAAGCTTGTCTTCGCGACAAAGTCGCGGAGTCGCGACGACAGCTAATATATGAAGTTGACAAGTAGCAGCGTCTAGTCGCGACGTCTGACGCCACAATTGTCACCCAGTGTGCGCTGCCGCTCAACGTTTTACTAATTTTAAAGCGACTATAAGGTACATTTGTAGTGTTTTAACACCAGAATGGGGTGTGTTTTGACAAGGTATTGTATGTAAAATGGGGTTGTATTAAAGACTATTTTCCAGGGGTATGTAGTTATTTCTCAGGGTACATATAAAATGAAAGTCCAAGCTGTAACATAAGCGTGTATTCATAAGGCCTCGCTGCCGGGAGCGCGCGCGCCCAGCGCCGCCCCGCCCGCGCCCGCCCGCCCCCGCCGCGCGCCCGCCCACACCTCGGCTGCCTGTAGCGACCATGTACGGGACCAACGTGGCTGTACCGGCTGGTGACGTCACATGTTGACAACTAAGCGATTGTAATACTGGGCGACAATCTCGGCGCCTAGCTATACGCGGGCGCGGTCACAAAACGCGCCCTCAACGCGCGTCATACACCTCCGCTGCTTGTACGAACCACGAGCGGACTCCAGCATGGCTGTACCAGCTGGTGACGTCACATGTTGACCACTAAGCTACTGGGACACTGGGCGACGATCGCGGCGACTAGATGCGGCTACATACTTAACACGCGCCCGCCCACACCTCCGCTGCTTGTACGAACCACGAGCGGACTCATGCATGGCTGTACAAGCTGACGTCACTATAACACTGGTCGACTAAAGCCTGGTTCGTGAACACGTAGAATCCCGTCCAATGACCCCAAGCTACCTATCCTTATCGCTCGCGCGTAATTATATTGCTGTCGCGACTGTGCGACGGGCGCCCGCAGTGAGTGTGCGAGCGCGACAGCAACATAATTACGCGCGAGCGACAAGGATGGTTAGCTTGGGGTCATTGGACGGGATTCTACGTGCTCACGGACCAGGTTTTAGACGCGGCCACAAAACGCGCGCGCGCGTCATTTCATATACCTACTAGCTTGTCGTCGCGACGATTTAAAGCGACAAAGCTAAATTTACAGCTTGTCAACACCAGAATGATAGGCGCTTTTTTATGTTGGTGTCAAATATCAAATGTCCTGTCCGAGTAATTATTTGTAAAATGAGGTTTTGTTTTATTTAGGTTAGGTCGCGTGGGGGTAGAGTATTAAAATGAAAGTCCAAGCTGTATCAGGCGCGTGTATTCATAAGGCCTCGCTGCCGGGAGCGCGCGCGCCCAGCGCCGCCCCGCCCGCGCCCGCCCGCCCCCGCCGCGCGCCCGCCCACACCTCCGCCGCCTGCACGGACCACGCGCGACCAGCGTGGCTGTACCAGCTGGTGACGTCACATGTTGACTACTAAGCGACTGGCACACTGGGCGACAATCGCGGCGACTAGACGCGGCTACATAACACGCGCCCGCCCACACCTCCGCTACAAGCTGACGTCACTATAACACTGGGCGACTAGACGCGGCCACAAAACGCGCGCGCGTCATATCATATACTAGCTTGTCGTCGACGACAGCTAAAATATGAAGTTGACAAGTCGCAGCGTCTAGTCGCGGCGTCTGTCGCCACAATTGTCGCCCAGTGTGCGCTGTCGCTCAACGTTTTACTAATTTTAAAGCGACTAAGGTACATTTGCAGTGTTTTAACACCAGAATGGGGTGTGTTTTTTTGTATTGCTGTTGTAAATGGTGTTAAATATCCAGGGAAGCCCAGTAATGTGTCCGAGTGTTATTTTGACAAGGTATAGTATGTAAAATGGGGTTGTAAGAGAGACTATTTCCCAGGGTATGTAGTTATTTCTCAGGGTATATAAAATAAAAGTCCAAGTTGTATCAGGCGCGTGTATTCATAAGGCCTCGCTGCCGGGAGCGCGCGCGCCCAGCGCCGCCCCGCCCGCGCCCGCCCGCCCCCGCCGCGCGCCCGCCCACACCTCCGCCGCCTGCACGGACCACGCGCGCGACCAGCATAGCAGCTGGTGACGTCACATGTTGACAACTGGGCGACTGTAATACTGGGCGACGATCGCGGCGCCTATATATATGCTGTCACAACGCGCGCGCTCGTCATTTCATATACTTAGTAGCTTGTCGCGACGCGCCCGCCCACACTTCTGCTGCTTGTACGGGACTAGGATTGGACTTCAGCATAGCTGTACCAGCTGGTGACGTCACATGTTGACAACTAGCGACTGTAACACTGGGCGACGATCGCGGCGACTAGCTAGACGCGGCCACAAAACGCGCGCGCGTCCTTTCATATACTAGCTTGTCGCGACGCGCCCGCCCACACTTCTGCTGCTTGTACGGACCACGCGCCATTCCAGCATGGCTATACAAGCTGATGACGTCATTAAGCGACTGCGCACACTGGGCGACTAGACGCGGCCACAAAACGCGCGAGCGTCATTTCATATACTAGCTTGTCGCGACGCGCCCGCCCAAACCTCGGCCGCTTGTACAGACCACGTGCGCGACAGATAGTGACAGTGTGGTGGTTGGAATGATGGAATGATAGTTATAGTGCGACAAGGCTAGTGTTTATATGGCAGGTTGCGTAAAACAGGTAATTATTTGGCAAAATGAGGTTGTGCGACTGATTTATTTGATGTATTCTAAACGGGGACCTGTTTGGTGTGTAATTCATTATTTTTATGCTTGTAATTTTATTTTTGCGCACTCATTTGTAATTAATAAGTCGCGTGGGGGTAGAATATTCATAAAATGAAAGTCCAAGTTGTAACATAAGCGTGTATTCATAAGGCCTCGCTGCCGGGAGCGCGCGCGCCCAGCGCCGCCCCGCCCGCGCCCGCCCGCCCCCGCCGCGCGCCCGCCCACACCTCGGCTGCCTGCACGGACCACGCGCGACCAGCGTGGCTGTACCAGCTGCTGACGTCACATGTTGACAACCAAGCGACTGGGACACTGGGCGACGAGCGCGGCGAGTAGACACGGCTACAAAACGCGCCCGCGCGTCATTCATATACTAGCTTGTCGCGACGCGCCCGCCCAAACCTCGGCTATAGTCTGGTCCGCGAGCACATAGAATATTGTCCAATGACCTCAAGCGATAAGGATGGGTAGCTTGGGGTCATTGGACAAAATTCTACGTGCTCCCGGACCAGACTATAGTCGCCGCGAATGTCGCTTAATGTGCGCTGTCGCTTAAAATTTTACCAATTTTAACGCGTCAAAGCTTTTACAGAATGTTAACACCAGTATGAGGTGCGCTTTTTTGCGTTGGTGTTATACCTAAATGGTGTCAAATATAATATTAGCCCAGTAATGTGTGTCCGAGTGTTATTTCGACAAGGTATTGTATGTAAAATGGGGTTGTGTTAGAGACTATTTTCCAGGGGTATGTAGTTATTTCTCAGGGTATATAAAATGAAAGTCCAAGCTGTATCAGGCGCGTGTATTCATAAGGCCTCGCTGCCGGGAGCGCGCGCGCCCAGCGCCGCCCCGCCCGCGCCCGCCCGCCCCCGCCGCGCGCCCGCCCACACCTCGGCTGCCTGGAGCGACCACGCGCGCGACCAACTGCTGACAAAAATACTAATTAAACACTAAAATTAAGTGTCGGCACAAATGCATTGTGGAAAACCTTTGTCCAGCAGTGGACGTTGTAATGTGGGGACCGGGAGTTGTCAATGAAAGTAGTTTATACTGTACGATGCGAGTATATTGTGTGTGTCAGTTTACGCAGCAACGTCAAATATATAGTCTTAATAGTTAGTGTGAGGGTGGCGCATACACATACTACAACGTCATTTGGCTGAAACGAACGAACAAATGGGCCACCGACCACACCTCAGCCACCGGTGATTAGCAACGACGACTTACCACACTTTTAATATATTTTGTATAGACGCGCACACGTGTATATCCGGTGGCGGCTCGCTACAGTACAGTAGTGTCCGCGACTCGCCACTATACAAAAAGTGTGTTAAGTCGCCGTCGCTGGCCACCGGTGGCTGTGGTGTGGTCGGTGGCCAGTGTGTGTCGGCCACAGTGTGGTCGATGGTGGTGGTCGATGGCCAGTGTGTGTCGGCCACAGTGTGGTCGGTGGTGGTGGTCGATGGCCAGTGTGTGTCGGCCACAGTGTGGTCGGTGGTGGTGGTCGATGGCCAGTGTGTGTCGGCCACAGTGTGGTCGGTGGTGGTGGTCGATGGCCCTTTTGCGTCGAGTCTAAGGTATGGATAATCTTTAATTTGTTTCGGGTCAGATGAGACCATCTCATCAGGTCATCTTTTTAGGCAGGGTCCCCGTCCCGTCTATTGTCTACTTTTGATAAAATATAATAAATAGTAAATTAACAGAGAAAATTGTCCCTACTGAAACTACTTATGCGTGCTCTAATAAGACACAGGCAAACATTGACATTCGTTATTGAAGAAACCGCATAAAAATGTACACACTCTTATATCTTTTTAACTATTTTTTCGCAACGCAACGGGGAGACTTTTAAACTTCTTCTTTTCCCTAGCCCTTTTTCTCGGCTCTCCTTATTCTGAGAAGAAAACTTTCTTTTATACTATACAGATTGTCCCAAAAAATAGTGTCAAGCTGAAGCCACAAAATATAACAGAAGGTAAACTCATGTATGTACAGTCGCGGAATGAAAAGGTTCGTCACCTTAGTGTCGGTTTTCGCTTGCACTAGGTACTGTAAGAGTCAAACCTGCCAACATAACAGTGCAAGAAACAGTGCTGCTAACATTTAAATAAATATAACGTTTGCTAACGAATAAGGTTTTGCTTGTTTAATTTTCTATCCCATGCAATGTTACAAAATGTAGTTTTTATTTATTTAGGGCTGATTTTTCAATTATCGGATAACTTTTAACTGAAGAATAAGTTTGGCACATTGACAGTTTAAGTATGGGAAATATGTCAAAATGACAATTTTATTCTTCAGATAAAAGTTATCCGACGATTGAAAGATCAGCCCTTAATAGAAATAATAATGGCAGGTTGAACCAACAAGAAGGTTTTAGTTTATCAATCATAATAATCTTGACAAGATAAATCGTCAAACAACTTTGATCTGAATAATTTTGAACTTTACTGACGAACAGTTAAAGATTATTTTCTCTAACTCGAGATTATTTTATAACATAGTTTCAAAAGGTAAAATGTGCTCGCGATTCGTTGAAGGAATCAATTTGAAAACTGACGAACCTTTTCATTCCGTGACTGTACTTCGCTTTGCATACCTCGCTCGCTCGCACGCTCGGCCGTCGCGCTAGGGTTGTCTTGTCATGTGTTGCGTTTTCGTTATGATAGAAAAATTAAACTCTTAATACTATGGAAGAAAGACAATAACAGATTTCTACGTATAATTATGTAGTTATGTTTAGTACGTTATTATAGTAATAGTTTGCAAACAAATACACGAGAAGGAAGTAGTACTTATGTAGTTGAGTGGTTGACACTATTATCCAATAATTCCTAAAACTTCTTTAAAACAATTCGATATTCCTAATAATTGAGTTGGCTTTCAATTTGTCAACGTTAAACGAACTATTGAAATAAAAATAAATACCTTACTTACCTCCCGGAATCAACTGGTAGCTTAAAAACCGAAAATTTAGTTTGTAATGTTCAGTGTAAGCAAACGTCTACTTAACAAATGTTATAATACCCCTTTTTTGTTGTTCACTAATTTTCGCACAAACAAAATAATTTCAGAAGCACGTGAGCAGCGTCACTCAAGCGAACGCAGTCGCGCCTCGCATTCGTCCGAGACAGTCTTGATAACGCGTACGTGAGCGGTGTCTATGTGTGCGTGGCTCGAGCGCGCTTAGTATGGAGTTTACCTTCTGTTATATTTTGTGCCGAAGCCCAGACAGAGGTAGTGCATAAGTCTGTATGTCATAATAGATCACCTAAATAAATATGGCTAGGATTGAAATCAACACCCTGTAGATATAGATAAAGATAAAAACAACAATCTCACCCGGTCCAAGCTGACGGCAGCGCGGGCGGCGCGTGGTGTCTCACTAAGCGCTCCGCCATCGCGTCGCGGACCAGTTCCTCGGCGAAACTCTTCATGGCCGACAGAAGGACCGCGTGCACGGCGCTGTGAAACATGCATAAACATTTAACCCCCTTACCACAGAATAATATTAAGTACTACGTACAAAAGTTTTACTTCGCGAAGGTATTTAAAAAAATGTATGCTCAATGTCATTAACAATATGGTGTAATTTAGCCTGTCTCAAGAGTCAAGCACCATTTTGTTGACAAACGTCAGTGATCGGCACTGCGCCGAAGCTATAGGGCTGACTTCGGTAAAATGATGTGACGTGAGGTGCCAAACTGCGGAAAATGGCGGAGAAAATACATGATTTAGCATGAATTATCATGAATAATATTAACTACTTATTTACCTCTCAGTGTCTTGAGGCAACTTAAAAAAGTACATTCTGTTTTTTATTAATATTTAGGCAGTTAAATACTGCACAGTATTTAGTACACCATTTTCTTTATTTTCTTCCATCATACACAAGAATACGCGTGCGTGAGTCAATGTTCGCTCGTATGTGAGGCCTTGTCAAATAGTATCCTGCAGGTGGGCCATCGTGCGTGTTTTGTTTTCGATGTAAACTCGCGGAGATGAACAGGCCTGCCCTTACCAATAAAATCTACACGCTCGTTGAACAGTGTTTTAAAGCGCCACTTTAAAACACTGTTCAACGAGCTGTTAGTATGGAAATGTCATTTTAAAACAGTGTTCAATTTATACAAGCAAACTGTTGCTACCACTGGGTAAACTTTTTATATCAAAATCAAAAATATTTATTCAGTTTAAACCACAAGTGGCACTTATGAAATTAGTAAGGGGTTAATTATTTCGCAACTATACATCTAGCATTACAGGCTTCCACAATGCGACAAAGAAGGAAGTTTATATTAAGTCAAGTCAAAGTCAAGTCAAAATTTCTTTATTTGTTTAGACTAATAAATAGTTCTTACAAATCGTCATTTTGCTCTTAAGGAGCCTCTACATGTCTCATAATCTTTTTACCCTACCAGCGCTTCGAGACCAACATTTGGCAAGTGCTGAGAAGAAGCGCCGCAACAAACTCAGTCACCACTGTCTGCCGGTTAATATAAATAAATATAAATAGTAGTAGTAGGTACATTCGATTCAGGAGCAGTTCACTGAATTTACCATGCATTCTTGTATGGTGTATCTTATAAGAATGGGTATACAAGATTGCGTAGTATATTAAACAAGGTAGTGACGTGCTAATATCTAGACTTACATATTAAGATACTAGTAGAAATGACTCGCATACATAAATTTGAATAACTTGGATTGACCAGTCCCCGAAAGCAGCGCCTGTTCACAGACATGACGAGTGAACCAGCCATCGCTTCACTCGACCATATTAGAGGGAATGTAACGACCCGCCGCGCGTGTATTCATAAGGCCTCGCTGCCGGGAGCGCGCGCGCCCAGCGCCGCCCCGCCCGCGCCCGCCCGCCCCCGCCGCGCGCCCGCCCACACCTCCGCCGCCTGCACGGACCACGCGCGACCAGCGTGGCTGGACCAGCTGGTGACGTCACATGTTGACAACTAAGCGATTGTAATACTGGGCGACAATCGCGGCGACTAGACGCGTGTACAAAATACGCGCCCGCGCGTCATTTCATATACTAGCTTGTCGTCATGACGCGCCCGCCCACACCTCCGCCGCCTGCACGGACCACGCGCGACCAGCGTGGCTGTACAGAGCGGGCAAGATAGAAATGGGTCTATAATTGCCAGGGTCGGTTTTACTACCAGACTTAAATAATGGCATTAGTCTACTATGTTTCATGAGGTCGGGGAAGATTCCCTTCTCTATGCAATTATTGAATATTATCGCTAACTGTGGGGAAATTATATCAATAATGTGTTTGACTATCTTGACAGAGATGCCCCAGATATCAGTTGTACTCTTTACATTTAAAAGATTAAAAGTTTTAGTGATATCTAAAGGAGTAATATGTTTAAAAGAGAAGTGCGAGTCACAGGGTGTCACGTGGGTTTTCAATATTTCTTCAGCCTCGGAGGGAGATGACTTTAAGTTGGCAGTTGTTGCTGAAGCTATATTACCAAAAAATTTATCAAAAGCTTCCGCTACATCTTTATCTGCAGATATCAAATTATCGTGAACTTTGAGAGAAAAGTCATTATCTCTTGGTTTTAGTTTACCAGTCTCTCGGTTGATAACATTCCAAGTTTCTTTTATTTTATTACTGGCGTTCCCTATCTTGTCCCGAATATAAAAAGACTTAGCCATGAAGCAAACTTTCTTAAAAATTTTTGAATACTTTTTTACATGCTCAAGAAAAGCGAGACATGTTTTACATGCTCAAGAATTAGGAAGAGTTCACATAATTTGAGTTAAAGCCTGGTCTGTGAGCTCGCACACTCACTGCGGGCGCCCGTCGCACAGTCGCGACTGCAACATAATTACGCGCGAGCGATAAGGATGGGTAGCTTGGGGTCATTGGACAAAATTCTACGTGCTCACGGACCAGGCTTTAGTTTCGGTTATGGATACGGTTACGGATATTTTTTTATTTCGGATATCCGAAAGTTTCAGTTCCGATTACGTATATCTGTGCTTTAGACTGCAATTTGCAATAGTTGTCCAACACGGTTCATTCATGGCCACACACTTTACATCGAATAAAAAGTAAAAAAATATATATACTAGATGGCATTATACTCGTAAAGATAAAACGGTTTCGGTTATTTTTTTATTTCTGATCTTTATTTCGTTTCGGTTACGGTTACGGATATCCATAACATCCCTGGTAAAGATTTAACCCCCTTACTAATAAAACTTACACGCTCGTTGAACAGTGTTTTAAAGTGAGACGTTTAGTATGGAAATGTCATTTTAAAACAGTGTTCAACAACTGTGTAACTTTTTATTAGTAAGAGGGTAATTATTTAGCAATCATGCATCTAGCATTACAGGCTTCCACGATGCGACTATGTAGGAAGTTAATATTAGAAAGAGTCCACATAATTTGAGTTAGTTATTACTTATTACAATTTATAAAGTCGGGCCGCCGAGCAGATAGAATTTCGTCCAATGACCCCAAGCTACCCATCCTTATCGCTCGCGTGTAATTTATTGCTGTCTCGCACTCTCACTGCGGCCGCCCATCGCACAGCGCGTTAGTAATTTAGCAATATAATTACGTGCGAGAGATAAGGATGGGTAGCTTGGGGTCATTGGACGAAATTCTATCTGCTCGGCGACCGGACTTTACAAATAAAACTTTGTTATTGATAAAATCGATTTCCTCATGTGGTGAAAAAACGATAATTCGGCTTGTAGGGCAATTTTCCAGAGTATTCCAAGTACCAACCTTTCGTTCAACCCCTGTATTACCAGGATCTACAGCTTGAGTGCCAAATAACCCAAGTTTGTTTTGAGAAAGTTAAGCTGTTGGACGCTCAACAAAGATTAATCAGAAGAATAACAATTTGAAGTTAAGTAATGACTTCCATTCACTGCATAGCGGATCACATCGCACCTTTAAAGTTAAACCGTTACTAAACGAATTTTTCGTAAAAATGAGTTATCAACGCCATCTTACTAAAGAACACGTAAACTACAAGATAAAATAGACCACTTCTTCAAAATTGCCTTCTAACGCCATCTAGCGTTAAAGCATAACGTTACTAAGCCAAACTTTGAACGGCTCGCTAAATACAATAACGGGTCTATGCAAGTAAGAACGTGTTTGTTGCGGAGTGATGACGAAAGTTTAAATTCATAGTGTGATTATTTCGATAGTAACGGCCGGTCGTCACAAAAAAAGGTAAGTTGTTTAGTTTTTTAATGAGTAAAGTGTGACTATATGTTTAAACACAGTTTTCGTTTAAAAAAAATACACAATTCATTATAAAATTTCTTTGGTAAACGGTAACAATTGGTATAGTCACAGTTTGCCTTTATTTTTTTAGGTACTTGTCTAATAATATTTATCACTAAAGGGTGCCTATTTCGTTAATTACAGTTTTTCAATAAGCCATGAGTAAATTTTATGATTTACAATAGTGAAACATTTTTTTTAGTCTATAATAAAATATAGATTAAAAGCATTTATTTGCTCCAGGTGATGTCGTATTTCCGGATGACCTCACCCCCTCTTTGTAGCTGATAACTAAGCCCTGAATCCTTTAACAGAGTGCGAAGAGGATTCAGTGCTAGGCAGAACCACAAGGGACTCAAACTGTCACCCTGGAAATGCCTCGCTCAATCCTTATGAAGTTCAATGGATCAGGAGACCTCTCACCACCACCTGGCTGCCGAAGGACTGTAGTCCACTGCCCCATGCATGAGCATGAGCGTAAAAAGGATCTCATTGCATCTACCTTATACAACTCTAAGATCCTCTCCCGCCATGATTGAGGCACCGAATCATAGGCCTTCTTATAGTCAATCCAGGCAGCAGAGAGAGCTTTCCTGCTTCGCCGAACTTGTTGGCTAATGGTTATGTCTATGAGGAGGAGCTCTTTAGTATCACGAGACTCAACCTTACATCCATTCTGAGCAGTGGCCACAAAATATTGTTCATTATTTTTATTATTAAGTGATTTAAGGTAGGTATGTGAACAACCTTTCGAGGGTAGGGAAATAATGCTGAGATTGTAACTTGAGTTTAATATATTTTTTATGTATTTTTGGTAGGTAATTGCTAGGTGTGTTTTTTTCTTATTCGTTATCAGTTATACTTCCTATGATTTAAAGGTACAAAATGTCTTAAGACTGATTAATAAATAACTAGGCTAAATGCTTGTATGGATATCTTTAATTTGTAATAAAATATTGTTGATTTCGAATGTTTGTTATTTTTTAATATTGTAACATCATCACAAATACCTACTCTATGATATAAAATTTAAATGTATAATAATATCACCATTATCATTGAAATTTAAATAGTTTTCAATATAGTAACATTATTTGGACTGCAATTTGAATAGTAATTTATTTAAAAATGAAAAAATAGTAAATGGCAAAGTGTTACTATAATTATATAAATCAAAATAAATAATACTATACATAAAATATTTTATTTTTGTAAATCACATAACATAGCGTTAGCACATATCTATCATAAAACTCATTAAGAAGCCTTAAAATACTATTTCCTTTGACTGTATTGAAAAAAAACATTGACTTTTTTCTTATTTTGGCTCTCCTGCAAAATTTCATAATTTCGTTTAGTAACGGTTTAAATTTAAAGGTGCGACATGTGACGAACGATACCTTCGTTTCAAATACCTTTCAGATGTATCCCACGGACAGTAAGAGTAGGCGCACACCGTTGATTTTTCGTCGGCCGATAAAACTATCGGCTACCGACTAAACAGTCGGGCAGTTGATCAGTATGGGCATGTATGGGAGTGCGCACACTACGCCGATTCGATTTGGTCGATTCTTCATACAATTTAAAATCGGGTACAACTATCGGCCAACTAAAAATCAACGGTGTGCGCCTACTCTAAGTAAATAGTGAAAACACTACGAAATTACTTGTATTTCAAATTAACTCACCTATACGAGTATCCGTTCCCAACGTCCTCATTCCTCAGCTCTATGCCTATATCCGCACACTTCTTCTCTATGAACATAAACCTCAACCGATCCTCTTCGCTCTCCACTGGCAACACTGTCAAACTGTTCTCCGTATCTGGCAACACTTCCGTTTCTGTTTTCACTTTGGTCACATCGCTACTGACTATATCAATCTCTTCTTCAGAATCCGTTGTTTCTAACGTCTCCGACAACGATTTTTGGAATTCCTCGCTATTGAATAAACTCAAGCTGGATATGTCTGAGGCGTTCGGGTATATTTCTTTGATGTTGGATTCGAGTTTTCTGGAATTTTCCAGATCGTTCCAGGACGACCAGTCGTCCGTTTCTGGAAGCTTCTGGGTCGTCTCCTGCCGCATTGGATTGTAACCGTGCAAGCGGGAGTAAATGAGTATTTGCTTCGTTCTCCAAATGTCTTCGGTGTGGAGGTAATGCTCTGCGAGTATTTTGTTTATTAGTTTCGCTCTTGACCACTGGAAAAGGGAAATATAAATTATAAAAAAAAGTATAAACAGCATAATAACGTCCCTAGCTGTTCGCATTATAACATCTTTTATAATGCGAACAGATTGTTATCAAATAACTGCCTTGTATGCATAAAAAAAATGTTTTACTGGAATACAAAACATCTATGTAATGGTACAAATTGATTGAAAGATAAAATTTGAATAAGTTTTAATCTAAGGGGATCTTTTAGGTCCACTATCATATAAGTACTTATGTTTGTGTTATTTAAAATATTATTTATGCTAAATAAACGACCGTGACGACGACATGACCAGCTTATGTAGGTAAATAGTTCACAACAGTTTATTTAGTAAGCTGGCGCTTCGATTATCTATATATATAAAAGAAAGTCGTGTTAGTTACTTCGCTTATAACTCAAGAACGGCTGAACCGATTTAGCTGAAAATTGTCAGGGAGGTAGTTTAGAGCCAGGAGAAGGACACAGGATACTTTTTATCCCGTTCGAAATTAAAAAAAAGTCTGCTTATTTATTGCCATTAAGGCGGAACAAAGTTCGCCGGGTCAGCTAGTTTAAGAATAAATCTAAGAAGTAATACTATTTTGCTAAGTCTTGTTCTGCTCTAAAACCAATTTAAAACTTACCTCAATATTTCTTCGTTTCGCGAAGTCCAGCTTCCAATACCTATCCGCGTTCTCCACCACAAACGGAAAGTTTTTCACATAATCAGGGTCCCTAGCTCTGTCCGTCACTATTGGCATGTTCTTTAGCAAATAGTTCACACACACTTTAACACACGAAAAACCATTGATTGCTGAGCACACTGTATCAAAATGAGATTTTTCCTTCTTCACTTTCACATTGATATTTGCCGCACAATCCGAGTTGGAGTTCTCCACAGAATTATCAACGTTCAACCAATTGTTCCCTATGTAACAATGATCGTTTTCTATATGTGCCAAATTATTCGCTTGCTTCTCATTATCAACTTTACAATTTTCGGTTTTCAACTGATTCTGCACTTCTGGTTTCAATAAAGAAACACCTTTCTTTTTCCTGAAACTTTTCAAGCCGTTTGATTTGATCGGACTTATTTTTGCTTTTGTATTATTTATGACTATCTCTTGTACTTTACTTAGATCTAATTTCCTGTCCATTTCTAGGTAATAAATCTTCCCAGTTGTGGAATCGATATACTTCATTATCCGTTTACCAACAGGCTGTTGTATGTCCGGCATATCACTGTCCGTTTCATTGAATTCACTTTTATCGTCACTCTCGTCTTCTCCCATGATTATATTTGCAGATATCTCTGACTCGATATCTGGTTTTTGTTCAGGTTTTTTGACTGGTTTTATTATCATTTCATCTACGTCTAATTCTGTGGTGTCCTTGCTGAAGAATTCCATCCAACTGTCGGTTTGATCGAAGACTTCTTCCTTGATTTCTGTGACTGGTTCTGGCTCGATTTCCATCTTCACTGGTGCTGGCTCCTCGGTGTGGTTGTGGTCTTCTGTGCTGGTGGAGTCTGGTGGGCCCAGTGGATCCGGAACCGGGTCGACGTATTCAAATTCCAGCATCTCTGGAGTGCTGTACAACCACACTTCCACTACTGTCTCTGAACCTGAAATTAATAAAGTTTATATTAAAAGTGTGCGGTTTTGAACAGCGATTTTGACCTTTTTGAGATCTTTTAAACTTGTAAAGTCCACTGCCTCCAGTAGTAGAACTTAAATCCACCCAGTCTACAGAACCAGGATCAGGTACCACACGAGTGGGGAACTCGCCCCAGTCGTGATATGGACCCAATAACATCTCAGGGATCCCCAATAATACCTCATGAACCCCATATCCATATCACACATGGGGGGTCCCCAATAATATATATTTATTAGATACACCAACAAAGTCACATACAGTTGATACATTTTAACATGGTTTAACACACATGATGCGTATATGACCTGAATTACAGGTATACACAACATTTCTTTATCTCGCGAACTCTCAATAACTGAAATGCTTACCCAGCGTCTGCAAGCCAGTGTAGTTTCTATCCAGCTTGATGGTGTGTTCGACAGCCAAGGGTCTGTTGACGGCCGGCAGTCGGAAGTGAAGCTCAACGCGAGCTGGGAATTCGCCCCAACCGCGACGGGTGATGTGGAACGGCGGCTTGCTGAGAAAGATAAAAATGAGGCATGAGTATATTGAGAAAAAATACGAATTAGTGAAAAATTTCTCACAGCATACTCTGTTTACTCACAAGTTTTAGCAAATAAATAATTCTGTTCTATTCAAAGTGAACTGACGACCTCATAAAGTTTGCAGAAAGGCACTGGATGCAGGCCGCTATTAACAGGCAAATCTGTAAATCATTGGGGGAGGCCTATATTTAGCAGTGGACGTCCTGTGATGATGGAAAAAACTAGAGCCAAACTAAGGCTTTGTCTTACACTCTCCACGTTGGCCAGACGGGTTGGGTTGGGTGAATTGTATCATTGTAGTGGGGACTGCATTATTTGAAGATCATATGATAATGACTCACTTGACGTGACATGGCCTAAACTGAGCTTGACCTGATGGTTACGAAATAGATCGAGTACTTTTTAACATGTCGTGAGAGGTGCCTAAAGGGGAAATATGCGCGGAGTATGGGCTACCATCCATTTGCCTCTAATACCTAAATTGGACAACCGAATTGAGAACCTCCTTTTGTTGAAGTTGGTTAATGAAGCTTCGTCGTGTTCTTACAGTAACCTATAGTGACTACCTATTTTCAAAAATGAACCCCTACCGTTCGATGATAGCGTTAAAACACTCACTTCACGTGTACGACGTGGTGCGGCGCGTACGAGTGGTGTAACGTTGCCACCACTCTAGCGAGCGCCGGCGACGGGTCCGGCCGGTCGGGGGGCCCGCGCACGTACAGTAGCCACTTGTGCGTCGAGCGGTCCGCGCGGGACGCGGGTGGCGCGTACTTTGATGTGTTACCTGCGAAGCAATCGTCATCATTTAACAAGTGGTTAAATTAACAACATTAATAACAGATGTAATTTGTCGTGTCATATCCATTTCATGCTTGTAAAAACCACTCAGGTTTACCACAATGCCCTTATGTCCAAAGGGTACTACAAGGTTCGAGACTATATTGATGACAAGGATGCGTGGTCAGTTCAGTCTGCACATATTTGATGTACTTAAATTTGACTATTCTTACCGTTAGATAATTCCTGGCAATAAGTGGTGACTGAGTTTGTTCCGGCGTTTCTTCTCAGCACTTGCCATATGTTTGTCTCGAAGCGCTGGTAGGGCCCAAAAGATAAGGAGGCATGTAAAGTGCCCCATAAGGGCTACCTTTTCTTTTTTTATTATTTTCTATTGACGTTCATAAGTGCCACTTGTGGTCGAAACTGAATAAAAAAAAAAAAAAAAAAAAACAATATTCTATCGGCGGGGATTAGGTTTACCACAATAGTCTATGCCAGTGGTTCTTAACCTTTAAGTCACGAGGGACCATTTTACCAAATTTTTTTCTTGTCAGGGACCACTTTTTTTTTTCAAAATCCTATGAATGGGGAGGTCGATTTCTCGCCTACTGTGCGCCGTTTGCGTTTGTGTTGACTCTACTCATCACGTCACGTCACTTGTTTATTACGATGTCTTCGAGGACCACTTGGAATGCCTCCAGGGACCACCAGTGGTTCGCGGACCACCGGTTAAGAACCACTGGTCTATGCCGACACCGTTAGGCTATTATTGTCTAAAAAAAGTTTTAAAAACTCCATAATGCATAACACTACACTATGTGGATCACATAATATGGTTCCGAAACGTGGCCTCTCACTATATGCCTCATCATAAAAGACCAAGGGAAAGGGCTCTCGGTGTATTTTTACGAGATCGAATTAGAAATGATGAGACCCGTAAACAAACATAAGTCTCTGACATAGCCCAACAGATTAGCAAGCTGAAGTGGCAATGGGCAGACTGACGGCCGATGGAGCAGCAAGGTTCTGGAGTGGAGACCACGTACCGGAAAACGCAGCGTGGGACGTCCACCCACCGACTGATCGAGGACCTGATAAAGGTAGCAGGAAGGCGCTGGTTACAGGCCGCTACCAACCGTGCGATGTGGAAGTCATTGGAGGAGGCCTATGTTTAGCAGTGGACGCCCTGTGGCTGAAATAATGGTGATAATGATGATGTGGATGACACTTACCAATAATAAGCCTGTACCGATGCTTCATCTTATTCCTCGTGGCCTCTTCCAGGGTGACCACCTTCTCTGCCCGCGGGTCGGTCTGCCGCGGCACCTTCTTAGGCTTGACTCCCGAGCTGGTGCTGGGCTCTTCTTCTTGCTTCTTCTCCGGACGGAGGGACTTGGTCGCGTCGGCAGCTATCGTGTAGTTGCGAGTTTGGAGCATCGCCTATGGAAAATCAAAATGTTTATTACTTTTTCTTCTTGTCGTTTCGTTTGCCTCCTGTCACATAAAAAAGTAATGTCAGCCTAAAACTCCGCTACAAGAGTAGCGTTGTCAGTAGCTTTCATTAAATATTCCTGCGTGCAGTTGTTTGGGAACGCAGGGCACGACATCATGTGCTTCATCGACTTTTTATTACTATGCAGCACTCAGAGCATGTTCATATACCACCACTTCAGGAAAACATCGTGAATGTGTCAGATGTACTTCCGAAATAGCTTTCACTACTTTTTTTTGTTACTTCGCTCTCTGAAGCAAATTCGAAATAAAAAATAACATATCTCTAAGGGACAGGACACTTTTTAATCTTCAAGTCGATTCCTATCCGAAAAAAAAAACGTTTTTGAATAGAAGCTGGCATATCCCTATGCCCACCATTTTATAAGTTTCCATCAACAACGAAAATGGTATCATGGATAAGGAATACTTCAAAATGAAAATATAAACCTAATTCAGTGTATAATCTAATCATTAGATTTAGATTCCCAGGTGTGCTGTTTGAGTCTATTTTAATCATAATAGAAATAGACTAGGTATATTCCCAAAACTGATTATGTATTTCAAAATTCCCCATTGGAATTCCAATTGTATTTATTTAGACTCACCGAATAATCCTTCCTAGCTTTGTTTCTCGGTTCCCTGGTCTTGAATATCTCGGTCAGGTCAGCAGTCTTCTTGCCAAGTAACTTCCTGACCGATGGGTGCAGTCTTCGCTGACCGTCTCGAAGGAGCGACGACACCTGGTGGGAAGAAAGAAAACAAAATAATTTAATCAGTAAGTAGGATTAGAAATGAGGAGGTCCGTAAACGAACTAAAGTCGCTGATATAGCCCGACAGATTAGCAAGCTGAAGTGGCAATGGGCAGGGCACATAGTACGCAGAACTGACGGCCGATGGGGCAGCAAGGTTCTGGAGTGGAGGCCGCGTACCGAAAAACGCAGCGTGAGACGTCCATCCACAATTTTTCTCCCACTGGGAAACGAACCCAGGTCCTCTAAGCCTGAAGCAGGTGGTTATACCACTAGACCAAGGCTGCTCAACCTTTTGAAGGGTCGGGCTAAAGGTGGATTTAGTCGTTAATGACGGGCCACTTACATTTCCTATTTCAGGTACTCTCAAGCGCAATAAAACTCAATTATTAAGATCAAACCACACTTGCGCGGGCCTGGGGTTGAGCAGCCTTGATAGCACAGAGGCAGTAAAAGATGATGATGAGATAATAGTTACCTCAGCTCTCCTAGTCTCGTGCTGGGTGGCCACGTCGTCGTCAATCTGGCTGCTGGATAGCAGCAGCTTCTGTTCCTGGAAGTAGTTGCTGACCAGCACGTAGCGTAGACGCTGCAGCAGGCGACGGGACGTTGACATTCTGTGGGTTGGGACAATAATCTCATTAGAAAGAACGAAAGATACATTTATTACAATGGACAATCACACAAATACAGGCATAGACATGACAGTGGCACATAATAATGGAAGAAGAAAAAACAAAAACAAGAGTACTCAGTCTCACTAGTTTTTGTTTTTCAACCGACTTCAAAAAAGGAGGATGTTCTCAATTCGACCCGTATGTTTTTTTTTTTCTATGTTTGTTACGCGATAACTCCGCCAATTATGAACCGATTTGAACAAATCTTTTTGCGGCGTATAGTTAATACCTCAAGGGTGGTCCCATTTAAATTTAATAATAGAAAAAACATCCCCCAAGGGTGGAAAATTGGGGATGAACTTTTTTATACGCAATATCTCCGCCGATTATAAATCAATTTGAACGATTATTTTTTTGTTGAATAGGTATTATCAAAAGGGTGGTTTCATGCGAATTTGAAGAAAGAAAATATTTCACCCCCAAGGGTGGAAAATTGGGGATGAACTTTTTTATACGCAATATTTTTAATTTTTAGTTTTTTTTTGTGTTCACGCATTTGAAGTCTGTTTTATTTTTTTAAAAAGTTATTATTCTTCTTCCCATTCACAAACAAGATGCCCACTGCAATGGGACCCCACTCAGCATATTTTATGCCGTGGCCAGGGTTGCATGATTCTAAAAATCACTGATTTAAATCAATGACCGAAAATGGAATTAATAAAAGGCTGGGAGTTTATATTCATCAACTGTAATGTTCGAAAACAATGTTAATATTAGGTATTCATGTATGAAATTGACGTTTGCATGGAGTTTGAAAATTTTATTATTTCCATACAAACATATTTGCGATTTTATAGATAACTACATTTTTTTTGGCCGTGTTGCCAGCTCTATATGTCAATTCTATGCAAATAAAGCCAAATAAATTAACGTAAAACCTAATAAAAATAAAAAAAAATCTTATAAATAAAAAAAAAACATGATTTTTTCCACCCGGATGTTAACTGACAAGCATTTACAAGTGCATTATCAGCTTAAATAGCAAGCTTTAAATATTATACTTTTGTTATTTGTTTTGTGGAAAGTTTTTCTTATCTACCTATACTTAGCCAGTAGCTTTTATCAGATTGGATTGAACTGGTAATTGGTCATAGTGGCAGTGGTTTGGAAGGATTGGTGGTGCTAACATAAAAAAAGAAAATATTAGTTGTGAGTCAAAAAAATTTTAAATTTTTTTTTTTGCTAACACTTGTCTTACTAAACTGTCGTGGACCGCATCAAACGCCTGGGATTGAAGGTGGCGCTAAACAAGTCCGAAGCAATATGCTTCCACGGGCCTCGTAGAACACCGCCGGCGGGGGCGGAGATCATGGTGGGTGGCGTATCCATCGGTGTCGGGTCGACCATGAAATACCTGGGATTGGTCCTCGACAGCCGATGGAACTTTAAGGCCCACTTCCGATATCTCGCTCCCAAACTGACGAGGACGGCAGCGGCACTGTGCCGCATAATGCCAAATCTGGGTGGTCCGCACACTGGTTGTCGTCGTCTCTTCGCCGTAGTTATACGCTCCATGGCGTTGTACGGCGCGCCCATATGGGTGGACGCCCTCGGAAGAGAGAACTTGACAGCACTCAGGATCAGGAGGCCACAGCGAGTCATGGCTGTGAGGATTGTGCGTGCCTACTGCACGGTGTCGCGAGAAGCTGCCTGTGCGCTTGCGGGCACCCCTCCATGGGAGCTTGAAGCCAAAGTGCTGGCTGAGGTGTACCATCACACTGCCGCCGCAAAGCGCAGCGGAAACCCGCCAGCACCGCGGGAAATAGGCTAGTTTCCTAAAAAAATCTTTTTAGTCCGTCATGTTTAATATCAAAAAATATTGGACACATATTTTTTTATTTGTCAATCTAACAAATAATATTACATAGTTATGGTGCGTTGAAGTTCCGCACGACGTCACAACGTGCGGCACTTTTATGCAAGTATTGACGTCACGGGCCTCTTCTTATGAACTTTGGCGCAATTAGCTCTATTTGTGTTTATTTGTTGTACTCCTTATTTTGTAATACCTAGAGACTAATAAAACACCGATTTTATTGATAAAAAGCGTTGAATTTTCGTACTCGTAACACCCGAAACAGAACCATTGTAACACCCGAAACAAAGAAAAAAATTATAAAAAAATAGTAAAACGTTTTATGTAACAGTGATTGTATATTACATGGTTTGTAAATTTCATACTTTAGAAGTCCTGTAAGTTTAAGGTATGATTCCTTAAGAAAATTCGCTAAATTTCGAGTAAATGCAGCAACAGTCAGAACATAGAGGCAAAATCTCGTAACGCCCGAAACGCACACTTTTCGACTCATATTTTCATTATCCTACATTCTAAGCTGTACAAACTTTATTATTTAGATAAAACAACTAAAAACGGACAGATTAAGGCAGTAACATTATTAAAATACTATTTCAAAATACATGAAATTGTTGAATATGTGTGTACGAACGTAACACCCGAAACGATGGAATGACCCTCTTGCTTCTTCTATTGTAAGTCTATGGGGTGTATTGAACTACAAAGTGAATGGTTAGCAGATTCAATATTTGTTTCGGCAGTCAAGATGGCAAAGAAGTTTATTCTATTATTATTATTATTCTGTCTAATGGCCTCAATGGTGCAAATTTTATTTTATTCTACAGATTAAGAAATAACAATATAGGATCATTAACTCCAGAAGTGAGGGTTTTGTTTTAATTTGTTATTGAAAAAGGTAATGAATATAATAAGTAGACATAACTGAAGAAAACTAAAGAAAATTGAGGACATACTGTTGCTTCTTTTAGGAAGACGTTATACAAGTTGTAAATATTCGGTTACTACAAATATTTTGCTGTCAATAATAGTAATTATTCTAACCTAAATGCTATGGTATTTTAAGAAGCAGCCAATGTCAACTCCAATAATATTGATACAGCCGCGGAAATTAGGTAATTTACTCTCATTGCAATATGAAACGAATAAGCCAGAAGGATGTGCTGTCGAGATAAAAGATAGGCGTTATTCAGGCGCCAAAAGTGTACTGAAAAACACCACATGGTCAACATAACAATAAACCTGCTGGGCGAACATGTTATTTATAACCTCCCCGGCAGTTTATTATCAATATACCGGCAGCAAGAAGCCCTTACCTTTGTTCAATAAGCATCACTTCGTTTTCTCTGATCTCCAATTCGTTCGAAAATTCCCGGTGAATAATTGTTTTGATTTTTTCAACTTTTTCTTCTTCCGACACATCAGGCACCTCTTCCTTGACCACCGCCGGAGCCCCCGGGTAATCCGGATCGTGATATTCTTCTTTACTATCCATTTTAAAGTATAATCCGGAGGGAATTCACCAACAACGCCCTACAGCGTCACAGAACAAGTTTTGCCACTTATAAATAAATTACACCGCACAACACTCGCGCGTATCCAGATTTATCACTCCGATTTATTGCTTACGTAATTTAGATACGTAGAAAGTTGTTTTCTTCATAATTGTTGGGAAAACAATTACAAAATTAACCAATTTCCGCATTTGACAGTGGGAAAGGTCAACAGCCGATTCATTCATTCGTTGGTTTTATTGTTTTTTTAATTTAGGTTCTGCAGTTTCGCCAATAATCCACCCTTGTGAACAACCCCCTCCCCGCCGCTCGAGATCACTAACTTTTCAAACACTTCACTTTTATGATTAAACTTGAAACTGGAAAAATTTAATGTTCTCTGATAAGTAGAAGTCTTTTATTGGTATTTAATAACAATAACAAAGATAAACCATCCACAGTAAGGGCAGAGAGGACAAACTCAAATCGATAGTCGCTAATCAGAAACATTGTTCGTAATTGTATTCTGTAATATTCATAATGCATTGTAAGTAAATAGGTGTTGTACTTTGTTTTCCTATAATTTTTTAACCGAATATCGAAGTGTGCTTCACTTTTCAAGAAATAGTGGCTAAATAGTGTTTCCCTATGCCATATTTCAAACTTCAAATCCAATGCTGTTCAAATTATCGATAAATCTTTGTCGATAGTTTATCATGATGATCGATAATGTCTGCTTGCACCAACATCCAAGTTTGGCATCCATCTGTTGTGTGATTATTTTTCTTATCAGCATAGCAAGCATAGCATCGAATAGTATCGATACTATGAACAGTTCGGAAAAAAAATTGTTGTCTATCTATTTTATCGTACTCGTAGTGTGAAAGTTTGAGACTGTGAGATAATAACTGCACTATCATCGATACACGAGCAGCACTACCGTACCATATTTTCTGGAACTGTCATTCCAGTTGACGTCTTTTATTTCGCAAACAAAAATTTCCACGACGAAAACCACTGAATTGTCGAAGCCGCCGCGGCAACGTAGCGTCGATCGTGATGTGAGGGCTCGAGTTGAGCGAGCGCCTATGTCCGACTCGCAATTGCCAGGCCAAGAGGCCATGACTGATCAACGCAGACCATTTTTCTACCCTGACAGCAGTAGCGACACCGAAGAGTATAGGAGAGACGAGGACCGTCGCAAGCGTTTGTCTAAGCGGAACGGCCCTAACATCCGCGGGAGACTGCCGAATATGCCTCCCAAGAACCAGATTCCTAGCGCGCCTACTCCTTCGACTTCGTCTGCTCAGGACCCTCCAAGGAACGGACAGAAGTCGCAAATCCAGCTGTGTGACGATAGAATTACCCTGGTGGTGGACAACACCAGGTTTGTGGTGGATCCTGCACAGTTCACTGCCCATCCTAATACCATGTTGGGCAGAATGTTTAGTTCTGGTGAGTTGTTTTGTTTTTTCTTTACCAAATAAGAGTTTACTATCGCAAATAATGTGTGGAATTACAGTTTCAGGAGTATTTACCTACTGTTATTTATCATAAATTGTTTCGGAGGACCTGAAATACAAATTAACATTTTGAATTTGACATTTTTGCATGTATCTTCATGTAAAACGTAAGTTCAATGATGCCAACTCCGATAAATTCCATAAAATAAAGGGATTTAATCATATTCTGACAAAAAAAAACTCATTGTGGCTTCAAAACAATGTCAGCCATTGCTTTTTCAAACAATGGTGTAATTTAAATGCTAAATTGCATTATATTGTGTAATCTGACCATAAACAATGTTTTAATTAGGGCATAGTGTATTTGACATGATAACATGGTCAATATTGTCTGATAACCAATTATATTGTGTTTCTATTATGTCAGCATGAAGGCATGTTTAGCTAACCTATTGCACTTTAGTGACTGACGCCCGTATTTACAAACATTACCTACTATGAGGTCTCATAGTGCACGTGGACGCACAGGGTGACACACGAACCAATCACAGAGCCCTATTCAATGCTGTGTGTTCGATTTGCTGCTTTACTTAAGCAAGTATCTTTTTTAATACGGGCGTGAGTTTCTTGCGCTGCTTCTTCTCAGCACTGGCCCATTTATTGTCCCGAAGCAGTGGTAGGGTTAATAATGCGACGTTTAAAAGTGCTTTTTAAAAGCCTATTTGCAGAAATGAAATGAGTTTTATGATGTTTTTACTTTGGTGATTGACATTTGCTTTGTTTTCATTTAAGCAACTTTGTTACACATTTTCTTTGTCACAGAATTGTCTTAGTCATTAGATAAATTATAACTATGTACTAAAGAAGAGAATTAGTCAAACTTGTATTATGTTGGTCATTAATGTTTATTAACTGACTCCGCCAGAAGGAAGGTTATGTTTTTCGAGTGTGTGTGCATGTGCACGAGCGTGTGCGTGTGTGACGTTGTGTGGCTGAATTGATGATGATGATGATGCCTACTTTATAAGTTATAATGAAATTTCTAATCAAGTTAATTAATATGAAGCATACGATCTAATCAGAACGAATAAAATACAGTTATTTAATTGTTTATTTGTTAATTGTAACACGTTAAATATAATGATCTAATTAATTATAATAAAATTATAACACTGAATTTCTTTTGTGCTTATTGATGCATTAGAAAATGATTTCATCAATAGAAAGTTACATATTTCATAAGTGTTAAAGACTACTTTTTACCCAATTCTTTTGTTATTTTGTAACCAGCGGCCGCCCGCGACTTCGTACGCGTGGATCCCGTTTTATCCCCTTAGGGGTTGTATTTTGCAAAATCCCGTCTTAGTGAGCACCTACGTTCTAAAAGGAACCCCCATGCAAAATTTGAGACTCCTAGCACTTGTAGTTTCTGAGATTTCGTGATGAGTGAGTGAGTGAGTCAGTGACCTTTCGCTTTTTTATATAAAGATAAAAACTTAACCCTCTCAAATATTGATTTTCTATGACACATCCACTTCTGGGCAAGGCCTGCATTAGCTGAGTACTGTTAGTTAAGTGTGAGTCACTTGCTTTAGGCAAGTATTTATTGGTTTATAGGTGAAAGTTAACAGCAGCTTCTATGAGTCAGATAGGACATACTAATGTTTTCTCTAAATATGTTTGGATAGGCCTTGCCTCTCTGATTACTTTTCTATATTTTATTTACTAAATAACTTTGACTAAATTGACTGATTTTGATAAAGAAATATGAAACTGAAGTACCTACCTACCTATATTCTTTCAAATGTTTAATGACTGAGTTCTGAGCCCCGATTACGGTAACTTTTAACGTCTACAATCCAGACACGCTTCTCGATTCTGCGATACGATTGGTCAAAACAGCTGACGTACGCTGTTGAACGACCAATCGTATCGCAGAATCGAGAAGCGTGTCTGGATTGGAAACGTTAAAAGTTACCGTAATCGGGGCTCTGAGTTCAACTGAATACAGAGTTGTCTTAAAAATATATTTGAAATCCTACTATCCTACTAATCCTACTAATATTTAAAATGCGAAATCCTACTTCCTGTCCTACTAATATTATAAATGCGAAAGTTTGTGTGGATGTTTGGATGTTGACATGTTTGTTACTCTTTCACGAAAAAACTACTGAACGGATTTGAAAACTTTGAAACTTTACAGTATTATTGTTTATAACCCAGAATAACATATATGTATAGGCTATAATTTATGTAAGATCTGTGATAAAAGGTATTTCACGCGAGTGAAGCCGCGGGCAAAAGCTAATCTGTCTATAAAACTAATGGAGTTTTGCAGGACCCCACACGGAAAATTGCACGCCAACTGTATTGGAATAAAAATGACAATCGCCAACAGTGTGGTCTACCAAACACACTCCTGACGTCTTGCTAAACATCTAATATAACAGAGGCCTTGACTTTCCTTTAGGTCTGGACTTCACTCACACCAACGAGCGTGGCGAGTACGAAGTCGCCGAGGGCATCTCAGCGACAGTCTTCCGAGCCATCCTGGAGTACTACAGAGGAGGCACCATCCGCTGCCCGCCCACCGTGTCTGTTCAAGAGCTCAGGGAAGCCTGCGACTATCTGCTGGTGCCGTTTGACGCGAATACTGTTCGGTGCCAGGTCAGTCCAGTAGCTAATAGATCCCCATAGTAAACTAGGCCTTCACTAGTTCCAAGGAGCCAAGTCTCGGACTCATTCGTCGTCAAAATTACACGCCCGGTGCAAGCATCTAAACCTGCGCCCTTGTCTTCAGCCAGTCAAGTCTTTTCAGCTGTCTAGTGTCTGCTGATTCCTACTCCATACCATCCAAATAACCCCAAAACGCGAACAGCCTGGGCAGACTGCTGCAAGCTTCTGGCAGTGATGCTAGATATTTGGGCTTGTTGATCTACTATGCTCCTGTATTCCATAAGCACGTGCTGTGTCTTCTCGCTCCATGGAGCCTTTGCACTGTAGACTGTCTAGGTCTGTCACACCTATAATTGCTTCTTTAAGGGCAGTGTCTGGTTGTCGCTTGATGGCACTTTGGCTAGAAATTCCTCTCCTCTCGATATCATTAGCGCTTGATGCGAGGGCATCTCAGCGACAGTCTTCCGGGCCATCCAGATAGAAGGCCCCTTTAGTCAGGGGTTGAGGGAACCCTACGATTACATGCTAGTGCCGTTTGACGCCAATACTGTTCGGTGCCAGGTCAGTCAAGTAGCTAACAGCTCTCGTCATAGGTGATAGGAGATGTAGTGGCAGGAACGAGAGATAGAAGGCCCCTTTAGTCAGGGGTTGAGGGAAACCTGCGATTACATGCTAGTTCCGTTTGACGCCAATACTGTTCGGTGCCAGGTCAGTCCATGTCACCCCACCCGACATCCCAAAGAGCCAAGCCTTGCACTCAGTCGTCGTCAAAAGTAACTAACCTTATACACGCCTGGTGCAAGCTTCAATAACTGCGTCCTTCAGCTAGTCAGGTCTTTTCAGCTGTCGTTTGACGCCAACACAGTTCGCTGCCAGGTCAGTCAAGTAGCTAAGAGCTCTCGTGATAGGTTCCCCATTGTTAAACTAGCTGGGAATAGGACCCTTTACTCAATAGTTGAGGGAAATCTGCGACTACCTGCTGGTGCAGTTTGACGCCAATACTGTGCGTTGCCAGGTCAGTCAAGTAGCTAACAGCTCTCGTGATAGGTCCCCATAGTAGAAACTGGCGCTGGTTGCTGGCTACACAGGAGATATGGTGGCAGGAACGAGAGATAGAAGGCCCCTTTACTCAGGGGTTGAGGGAAGCTTGCGATTACATGCTGGAGCTTTTTAATGCGAATAATGTTCGGTGCCAGGTCAGTCCATGTCACCCCACCCGACATCCCAAAGGGAGTAAGCCTCGTACTCATTTTTCGTCCAAAGTAACTTGCCTTTTACTCGTCTGATACAAGCTTCTATACCTGCGCCCTTCTCTTCAGCCAGTCAGGTCTTTTCTGCAGTCTTGTGTCTGCTGGTTCGTGAGTCCCTTCCTACTCCACACAACCTAGACTACTCCAAAACGCGAGCAGCCTATCTAGGCTGCTGTAGGCCCGGCAGTGATGCTGAAGATTGAAGTATTTTTGGCCTGATCATCTACTACTACTGCTTTTTATAAGCCCATGCTGTGGTGTTCCTTCTGTTTCCATGCAACTTCTGCATAGTGGGCTGACTGTTGCACCTTGAATAGGTGTTGGAGATTACCTCGTTCTTGCGTGCCATAAGCATGAGCTGTGGTGTTCCTTCTGTCTCCATTCAGCCTCTGCACAATAAGTTGTCTTTAACACTTACAAGCACCTTGTTTAATGGACGTGCACTTTTGACATTAATGGTTTCTAAAGGCTACAATGGTTTCCAAAAGCTAAAGCTTTTGTACTTTAATGCCTTTTACTTCTATTCCAGAACCTCCGCGGCCTCCTCCACGAGTTATCCAACGAAGGTGCCCGCCGCCAATTCGAATCGTTCCTCGAGCGTCTGATCCTACCCCTGATGGTGGAGTCGGCCGAGCGCGGCGACCGCGAGTGCCACGTGGTGGTGCTGCTCGACGACGACTCGGTGGAGTGGGACGAGGAGTACCCGCCGCAGATGGGCGACGAGTACAGCCAGACCGTGCTGTCCACGCCGCTGTATAGGTTCTTCAAGTACATCGAGAACAGGTCGGTATTCTGGAGAGAATAGGGTTGATTTTCTTTTGATTGTTCCCTAGGTCTATTGCGGGACAAAATTCGCGCTCTTCGGTTTGTGGAGAAAAGGTGTCTATCCCGCGATCTTCTTACCTGATGCAACTTTTCCTCCTTGTGTGCAGAATCACTTGTCGCAAGCAACCAACTCTGTGATGCTAAGTGAAAGGCGACCAAATTGATAGCTGTCTGATATAATGCTTTATGTGCTACTGATCCTCCTCCCCCAAGTAACTAAAAGGGGACTACTGCTGGACAAAGGCTTCTCTAAAGATTTCTACAACGACCGGTCATGCACTGTCCGTATTCACGCGCTCCCGTGATGTTACTCCTTCTTACCACAATGGGGAAACTCTTGCTCCTGCATCTCACTAGATAGTAATGATGTGTGGTGGTTGGGTCGAAGGCGGAAACTGTCTATCTTGCCTCCCATTGCTGCCACATTTCCATGACTACTGGGAACCGAAGCCAGTCCTTCCTCGATCTGATCCTGCCTGATGGTGGAGTCGGCCGAGCGCGGCGACCGCGAGTGCCACGTGGTGGTGCTGCTCGACGACGACTCGGTGGAGTGGGACGAGGAGTACCCGCCGCAGATGGGCGACGAGTACAGCCAGACCGTGCTGTCCACGCCGCTGTATAGGTTCTTCAAGTACATCGAGAACAGGTCGGTATTCTGTAGAGAATAGAGTTCAATTTCCTGTGTTCCTCCTCTTAGCTGAAAGTCGTCTATTGCTGAACAAAGGTCAAGCTCCACACTCTTCTTTTTCATGGAGAATAGGTGACTATCTTGATGGGATTAGAGTTGAATAGCCTGTGCTCCTTCTCTTAGCAGAAAACCTCGGAGTGTCCTTTATAGATGGGCGACGAGTACAGCCAGACCGTGCTGTCCACGCCGCTGTATAGGTTCTTCAAGTATATTGAAAACAGGTGCGTATTCTGAAGGGAATAGAGTTCAATTTCCTGTGCTCCTTTTTTAAGCTTTAAGGCGTTTATTGGATGAGAAAGGTCTCGCTCTTTGCTTATTTTTCGTGTAGAACAGGTGACTTATCTTGAAGGGAATAGAGTTGAATTTCCTCTGATTCTTCCCTAGGTCTACAGGCGTCTATTGCTGGACAAAGGTCGCGCTCTTCGCTTGTTTTTCGTAGAGAACAGGTGACTATCTTTATGGGAATAGAGTTGAATATCCTGTGTTCCTTCTTTTGGCAGAAAAACTCGGAGTGTCCATTATAGATGGGCGACGAGTACCTCTAGAAAGACTTAGGAGTATTCTCGCAGATGGGCGACGAGTACAGCCAGACCGTGCTGTCCACGCCGCTGTACAGGTTCTTCAAGTATATTGAAAACAGGTGCGTGTGCTGAAGAGAATAGAGTTGATTTTCCTGTGATCCTCCTTTAGGCTGAAAGGCGTCTACTGCTGAACTAAGGTCAAGCTCCACACTCTTCTTTTTCATGGAGAATAGGTGACTATCTTGAAGGGAATAGAGTTGAATATCCTGTGCTCCTTCTCTAAGCCAAAAGTCTTCTCGGAGTGTCCTTTATAGATGGGCGACGAGTACAGCCAGACCGTGCTCTCCACGCCTCTCTACAGGTTCTTCAAGTACATCGAGAACAGGTCGGTATTCTGTAGAGAATAGAGTTCAATATCCTGAGATCCTTCTCTAAGACGGAAGGCTAATTTCCTGTGACTCTTCTCAAAATCGAAGGACTTAGGAGTATCCTCCTTGTTCTTCAAGTACATCGAGAACAGGTGCGTGTGCTGAAGGGAATACGGTTGAATTTCCTGTGATTGTTCCCTAGGTCTAAAGGCGTCTATTGCTGGACAAAGGTCGCGCTCTTCACTTGTTTTTCGTTGAGAACAGGTGACTTATCTTGAAGGGAATACAGTTGAATTTCCTCTGATCCTTCTTATATCCGAAAGACTTCTAAGAGTGTCTTTTGTAGATGGGAGATGAGTACAGCCAGACCGTGCTGTCCACGCCGCTTATAGGTTCTTCAAATACATCGAGAACAGGTCGGTATTCTGTAGAGAATAGAGTTCATTTTCCTGTGCTCCTTTTTTAGGTTTTAAGGCGTTTATTGGATGACAAAGGTCTCGCTCTTCGCTTGTTTTTCGTAGAAAACAGGTGACTATCGTCAAGGGAATAGAGTTGAATATCCTGTGTTCCTTCTCTTAGCAGAAAGACTTCAAGATTGCCTTTTGCAGATGGGCGACGAGTACAGCCAGACCGTGCTGTCCACGCCGCTGTATAGGTTCTTCAAATACATTGAAAATAGGTCAGTATTTTGAAAACAATAGGGTTGCATTTCCTGTGACACTCCTCTAGGTTTAAAGACGTCTATTGCTGGACAAAGGTCGCGCTCTTCACTTGTTTTTCGTGGAGAACAGGTGACTTATCTTGAAGGGAATAGAGTTGAATATCCTCTGATCCTTCTTCAATACGAAAGACTTCTCGGAGTGTCCATTATAGATGGGCGACGAGTACAGCCAGACCGTGCTGTCCACGCCGCTGTATAGGTTCTTCAAGTACATCGAGAACAGGTCCGTATGCTGAAGAGAATAGAGTTCAATATCCTGTGAAACTTTCCTAGAGTTAAAGGTCTTTATTACTGGATAAAAGTCGCGTTCTTCGCTTGTTTTTCGTAGAGAACAAGTGACTTAATCTTCAAAGGAATAGAGTTGAATATCCTGTGCTCCTTCTCTTGGCAGAAATACTTCTAAGAGTGCCTTTTGAAGGGAATAGAGTTGAATATCCTGTGCTGCTTCTCTAAGCCAAAAGTCTTTTCGGAGTGTCCTTTATAGATGGGCGACGAGTACAGCCAGACCGTGCTCTCCACGCCTCTCTACAGGTTCTTCAAGTACATCGAGAACAGGTCGGTATTCTGTAGAGAATAGAGTTCAATTTCCTGTGTTCTTCCTCTTAGCTGAAAGACGTCTATTGCTGGACAAACAAAGGTCGCGCTCTTCGCTTGTTTTTCGTAGAGATCAGGTGACTTATCTTGAAGGGAATACAGTTGAATTTCCTCTAATCCTTCTTCAATACGAAAAACTTCTAAGAGTGTCTTTTGTAGATGGGAGATGAGTACAGCCAGACCGTGCTGTGCACGCCGCTCTACAGGTTCTTCAAATACATCGAAAACAGGTGCGTATGCTGAAGGGAATAGAGTTGAATTTCCTGTGATTGTGTTCCTTCTCTAAGGTGAAAGTCGTTTGTTGCTGGACAAAGGTCACTTCTTTGTGGTGGAGAACAAACAGGTGAGTGATCCTTCTCCAATCTGGAAGACGTCTACTGCTGGATGTAAGCTGAACAAGGACCGTTCTTACGCTGCAAGCAGCGAAAGAACTCCAAAACACACACAGATCACAGCAAACGTCATCTGCGACCTTCCGTCTCCTTTTTTTCCTCTTTCTTTAACTGTGGAAGAAATATGCGAACATTAGGACTCTCGCCGTCTAACTAGCGTGAGCAGACTGAGAGACTGAGGCTAGTTGGATCAGGCCGATTGTAGGAACTGACAGACCTTCAGCTGCCAAAACACACCCTCTCAGCATTGTGGAGAAATGACCCTTGTGGGAATCCTTCCTTGAGCGGATGAAATGATGTATGTTGATTCCGCCGAAGGCAGAAACTGTCTATCTTGCCTCCCATTGCTGCCACACTTTCATGACTACTGGGAATCGAAGCCAGTCCTTCCTCGATCTGATCCTGCACCTGATGGTGGCATTCCTCTAGGCATAAAGGAGTTTATTAGGTGATTGCTGCATAAAGGTCACAGTCTTCGCTTGTTTTTCGTAGAGAACAGGTGTCTATCCTGAAGATAAGCTAGAATGTTCTCTGATCATCCTATAGGCTGAAAGACGTCTACTGCTAGACTTACACAAGACAACAACCGTTCTTGCGTTGCCTGCATCTAAGTGCTGCTTACGACTGTTACTTATTAATTTTAATAAACTAATCTTAGAACCAGCACTCTAGCCAAACCACTGAGGTGATTGTAGTACTGGTTTGTTCGTTTCTTTAACAAAAATTTGTCCACTGCTGGACAAAGGCCTCCCCAAGAATTTCCACAACAAATGATCTTGCACTGCTCGCATCCAGGCTCTCCTCGTGACTGCTTCTTACTTTACTTATTGATTAATAATGAACTTATTGTTTTCCAGAGACGTGGCAAAGCAAGTGATGAAAGAGCGCGGGCTGAAGAAGATACGTCTTGGAGTGGAAGGCTATCCTACTTATAAGGAGAAAGTGCGCAAGCGGCCTGGCGGACGCGCGGAGGTAATATTGTTTTAATATTATTTTCTTTTACTTCGAAAAAAAAATATTGTTAATAAAGAAAAACTTAATTAATTAGCCACAAAGTTTTTACTAATGACTATTTTATTTGAAGAGGCAGACAGAATGCAGAAAACAAAATTATGTTTTAACCTGACTGAGTTTGTTGCGGCGCTTTTTTTCAGAACTTGCCAAATGTTTGTCTCGAAGCGCTGGTAGGGCAAAAAAAGAATGAGACATGTATAGGCTCCTTAAGAGCATTTGACGATTTGCAAGAATTAATTTAATTAGTGTAAACAAATAAAGAAAATTTTGATTTGATTTGATTGAACCTGTTGTCAAATCAGTAACTCTCAGAGTAGACCTTAATAAATGAAGAGTGTCTATTCAAAAGGGGATATTTACATTTTTATTATTTATTAAACTGAGTATGCAGCCTTGTTCTTAGTGCTGAATACTCACTTTCGTCACTTGAATCTTAATCAAAACGGGATATTCTCCCAAGTAAAGCAGCTTCAAATATGAGTGTTCATTTCAGAACAGGATATTTACACTTACAAAATTAAAAAAATAATAGTTATTTTTCATTTCATAACAAGAGAGGATATTTACAATACAAATATTTACACTATACCAATTAGCCGTTTCAAAACGGGATATTTACTTTTACATAGGGTTTTATTTCCTTTAACTTTATGCCTTAGGATTTATTTTTAGACATTTTACTCTGTAGAACGGAACACAAAATTNGCTTTAGGGTTTATTTTTAGACATTTTACTCTGTAGAACGGAACGCAAAATTAACGTAAAACGGAATCTATGTTGAGTGATTGTCTGACACCTGATATTGGACAAATCAGGATTTGAATGTCTAATAATTAAAAAAATATAATTCTGTTTAGTAAGGTCTTTAATTTTGGTCATTATTATTATTAAAAAAAAAGAATAATCTGTGTTTTATCAGACCTGCCCCCCTAGACAAAACGCACTTTTTGATCGAATCGAAAATAGAATCCGTCAAAACTCCATACAAAAAAGGGGCTTTTCGACCACTTTTCGACTGGTTTGCGATTATAATTTGCACTTTGTCTAGACCCGNGTCATATTTTTGGCAAAAAGTGTAGTTAGAACACTGTAATGAAATAGTTTCATAAAAGAAATAATGCTTTTCGGTAGGTCTGTAAATATTTCCCATATAAGTATTTCCCATTTTGTGAAAAATAAGATAGAATGTAGGTATCCCCTTTTGAAAAGACACTCCTCAATTGTAAGTTGTCATTTCGAGAAGTTGGCATTTTGAGAAGTTGGCATTTCGAGAAGTTGGCATTTCTGCGAAGTTGTCATTTTGCGAGCGGTTGGCATTTTGAGAAGTTGGCATTCTGAGCACAAACGCTAGTCCAAGTCGGGATATTTGTGGAGGATGAAGTTCTATGCCGGCAAAGGGCATGAAATGTCTTTTGACGATAGCGACGGAAATGAGCCAGAGGGTGCCGCCAGCAAGATTGTTTTTTATCTTGTTAGGCCATTATTAAATCGGGGGCACACTCTGGTAATGGATCATTTTTACAACAGCCCTTTGCTGTCGAGAGCATTGAAACAAAAATACAAAACGGACACAATGGGCACATTGCGCCTTAACCGCGAATTTGTTCCCAACAGCCTCCAATCCAAGACCACAGCGAACATGGGCACTGGGGAAGTGGCTTTTAGCCAAACGAGGGACATTACGATAGTAGTCTGGAAAGAGTCTAACGTAGTTGTCCCTCATATCAACATACCATGCAGCAAAAGTCGGCGGAAAGAAAAGTATGGAAAATATAAATACAAGCCCGAAGTTGTACTAGATTATAACCTCTCCATGGGTGGGGTTGACAAAAAAGACCAGCTACTTAAAAAAATACGATATTAGTACTATAAAATCCTTTGTTTTTCTTGTATTAATCACAGATTCTCTCAATGTATGTTAAAAATAACACCACATCTTACTGCTATAAAACTAAAAATTTCGTTTACTGCCATTTTGGTAAAACTGGATGTTACTGCCTTTGCATCTATCTATGACGTTAAAGAAGAAAATAAAAACGTTAAATGAAAAGATACGGAGACAAAATAAAAAGTTAGCACATTTCTCTAACATAATTAAGGATCTTCAGGAAATAAAATTTATAAATGCTGATGAAAGCATCGTATTAGAAGAAAGTGCAGTGCCAAAAGATTTTTTGAAGAGGCAAATTAATAAAACTAAAGGATTACCTAAGGAGGTTACCTAATGCGAAAAAGTATTCTGAAGTCAGCAGGAAATTTGCACTTACCCTTCACTTAAACGTATAATACTTATTTGCCACATCCTAGAACGCTAAGCAAATGGTATCAAACATTAAACGCAGAACCTGGATTCACCAAAGGAGCTTTAGTCTGGGACTCAATGGAATGCATGCCATCACGTGATCGAAATTTCCTCTAGTCTAATGAGTCAAGACGAGCCCGTGACAATCGCCTCGACAGACCGAGTAGTTGTGAGACATCAACAGCGAGCTCCGAAACCTTTACCGCAGGATCAGATACTCTTACAGCAGGGTCAGATACACTTACAGCAGGGTCAGACACACTGGGGTGCGATGGTGAGGGACCTCCCCGTGGTGCATCAACGTCCGCGTGCTCTGTCACGCGGGCGGCTGACTCCTCACCGGCGCGGCAGGTCGCGTCAACTCGGCGGGCCTGTCGGGCAACCCGTAACCCCCCAACGGAGGGGGGCCGGGGGCCCCGGCTACGGAAGTCGGGGTCAAGACAAGGAAAAGTCTATAAAACCCCTAATCCCAAGGTCTGGCGGGGGCCGAGGGGACGAATGGCTAGAGGGTATCTAGTTGCTACCCCGTCGTGGAGCGAGGGTGGGGCAGCTGCGCCCGCAAGCAGAGTATATGACATGGACACAAATAAAACTAAACTACCGTGGACCGCATCAAACGCCTGGGATTGAAGGTGGCGCTAAACAAGTCCGAAGCAATATGCTTCCACGGGCCTCGTAGAACACCGCCGGCGGGGGCGGAGATCATGGTGGGTGGCGTATCCATCGGTGTCGGGTCGACCATGAAATACCTGGGATTGGTCCTCGACAGCCGATGGAACTTTAAGGCCCACTTCCGATATCTCGCTCCCAAACTGACGAGGACGGCAGCGGCACTGTGCCGCATAATGCCAAATCTGGGTGGTCCGCACACTGGTTGTCGTCGTCTCTTCGCCGTAGTTATACGCTCCATGGCGTTGTACGGCGCGCCCATATGGGTGGACGCCCTCGGAAGAGAGAACTTGACAGCACTCAGGATCAGGAGGCCACAGCGAGTCATGGCTGTGAGGATTGTGCGTGCCTACTGCACGGTGTCGCGAGAAGCTGCCTGTGCGCTTGCGGGCACCCCTCCATGGGAGCTTGAAGCCAAAGTGCTGGCTGAGGTGTACCATCACACTGCCGCCGCAAAGCGCAGCGGAAACCCGCCAGCACCGCGGGAAATAGGCTAGTTTCCTAAAAAAATCTTTTTAGTCCGTCATGTTTAATATCAAAAAATATTGGACACATATTTTTTTATTTGTCAATCTAACAAATAATATTACATAGTTATGGTGCGTTGAAGTTCCGCACGACGTCACAACGTGCGGCACTTTTATGCAAGTATTGACGTCACGGGCCTCTTCTTATGAACTTTGGCGCGCTCTATCTCTTTAAATTTTCATTAGTTTGAAAAAGTGAAAAATACGTGTAGAGTATTTTTTGATAAGTTGACTGACGGACTAATTAAAACTCTTGCTTTTTGACCCAGGAAACATCGCTATTGAGCACTGGAGGGAGGAGGCCCGCAACGAGATCAGAGACGAGTGGTCGGCCCGTCTGACGGAGCCCAGCGCGGGTCACCGGACGGTCGACGCACTGCAGCCCTATCTGAGAGAATGGGTCGAGAGGCGCGGCGGATCTCTCACGTATCGGATGGTGCAGGTGCTGACCGGGCACGGTTGCTTTGGACGATACCTGCACAGAATCGGTCGTGAGAGATCTGCCGTCTGCCACCATTGTGGCGAACCGGAAGATACGGCAGAGCACACGCTCGAAGTGTGTACTGCGTGGGCGCCGCACAGAGCCACGCTCCGTGCGGCCATAGGATCGGACGTGACACTGCCGGCGCTAGTTAGTGCTATCGTCAGCAGCCCTACCGGATTTGACGCTGTCAGAACCTACTGCGAAGTGGTGATGGCAACCAAAGAGGAGAGCGAGCGAGAGAGGGAGGAGGATCCCCTCGCTGACCCTGCTCGCCGCAGAAGAGTGGGTCGTAGGCGGCGTGCATTTGCGCGTCGTCCTTAGTCTAGTCGGTCTATTGACCACTTCTAGTCATAGAGTAGGATATCCGGTAGTCAGCAGTCAGGCTCTCTACACCTGGCTGCTGGCACCACCTGTATATATATTTGTATATATACGGATTGTTGTAAATATTTTTGTACAGTGTATAGTGTAAATACATATTTTGTACAAATTGTAAATAGTCTCCAAGGGTCATAGGCAGATTCCCCGAATCTAGCCTCCGAGTAGGAGCGGTCAACACCGATGGGCTTGCATTGGCAGGCAAACTGTGCTGTAGGGGCATCCGGGAAAGGTTCGCTACACCGGCGCCCCCTACACGCAGCAAGATGGAGACTGGTGGAAGTTTTTAGTGGGTAGGCCCCACCCTTCTGGCGAGGAGAGCCTCACATAACCCGCCGCCTGACCCAGCGGCGGGTATGCAGTAATGCATTTTTTACCATCTAAAAAAAAAAAGGGTCAGACACACTTACAGCTTCAGATAATTTTAGCGACATCTCAGATAATGAAATTATTGAGCATGAAGTTCCAATTCACGCAGAGCAATACAGTCCGTAGCTATTGGGTATGTGTAATTTTGAGGACTATTGTTTTAATTAGCGTACTAATTTATTTGATTTGTGTTATGTCTGAAGAAATTATGAGGATTTAAGTTGTGTTATGATGTCTGAAGAAATTATCAGGTTACTCAAAGTTGGTATGTTCCGCGATTTCTTCGTCAATAGTAATAGTTTCGTGTCTGTCCGTCCTGTTTTGCTAAGCAGCTGTTAGTAGGGTTCCGTTTGCAATATTTTATAAGAAACCTCTGTATTTACAGAAATGTCAAAAAAATTAGTACCTGCCTTCCCCGCTCATAGATCTCCAAGTGGGACAATCACCTGCTCGAGTGAGGAGGCGGTGATTTATCAGCCTACGCCGTCTGGTTCCCGTCTCAGGGTAAGTATTTATTAAAAACTAGCTGTGCCCGCAACTTAGTGCGCGAGAATGCCAAAACACGAAACCTTTCGGATATTTATAAGTTTTTGATGTGTGTTTTTTTTATATGTTATGGTTCTTTGCATATAAGTTTCTAAAAATCGGTAAAGTGCGGCGGGGGCGCTTTTTTATTTTCTTAAATACAAAAATGATTGCATAAATCTTATACGTCACTTTTGTTTGGAAGCCGCCGACGAGGAGGAAGTCATTAATTTCAATATCCGGGAGGAGCGGCAAGTAATGCGGCAGTTAAAGCTAAAAGCTTCTGAAAGCCGCGACCCTCTCATTTGTGCATTAACGATGGATGAAATGTCAATATGGAAGTGTTTGTCATGGGATCCCAAAGCTATGGCAATGTTGGCGAAGTCAGCCAATGTTTGGTATTACTTGTAACAGCAATAAATGGGTCCTGGAAACTTCCAATAGGATACTTTCTGTCTCTTTCAGGCGAACAAAAAGCTTCACTGTGCGACACAGCACTCCAATTGTGCCAAAATGCTAAAGTGGAAGTAGTGAGTCTAACGTGCGACGGTCTGGCTGGGAACTTCAGCATGTTCACAACTTTAGGTTGTAATGTTTTAAAGGACCAGACCACCAGACAGATACCAATTTTCTAATGGTATGGGAAACAAGTACAGGTATTTATCGATCCTTACCATGCATTGAAACTAATCAGAAATGCTTTGGGTGAACTAAAAATTTTTATCGATCAAATGGGAAGAGAATTACTTGAAAGATTGCACGGATGCAATCCAGTTGCTTGGTTTTCCAAGAAACATGGTTGCGTGGCACTCTCAACGGCAGAAGCGGAATATGTGGCCGCTGCTGCAACTACACAAGAGCTACTGAACTTCGTCGGAGTGGCAAGTAATTTGGGTTGTCTGAATCTGAATAATGTAAAACTGTTTGTTGACAATCAAAGTGCAATGATGTCAAAAAGTTTAGAAATTTCAAAACGAGCCAAACATATTGATATCAAATATCATTTCATAAAAGATAGCATAAGTAAAGATATTATTTCAATTCAATATGTTAACTCTAATAATAAACTTTCCGGGCCCCTAAGTGTTAGATGACAGTTTTATTGTCAATTAGGTACGCGCAGCGTGACCACTTTTAGTAGATTTCTACTTTTTTGAGGCAAAGAGAACGATGATTTAGTAGTGCGAAATCGTTTAGTAGATTTTGGTAGATAATTGGTATTTTTAGAACATTGTTATAAATGGTAGTCCAAAATTAAATTGTAACCGAGCCGAGAATCCAGGCCAGAAAAAAAGAACTTTAGGGTCCGTTTATGGTCACTATAAGAAGGCGAACTAACTTGACAGTTCAATTCAATGCACATAAATGTTGCCACATATTGGCTAGTGTTGTTAATATCGACATAAAAAAATTCAAACGTTCAAACCAAGGGTTTATTTTTAAGAAGTACTTTTATTTATCAATGAAATTAAACTTAAAACTTGTATTATTAAAAAGTACTAATTTTAAAAGTGTTATAATTATTATCTATACTAATATTATAAATAGCGCTGGAAATTGCACAAATTTTAAACCTGAAGCATCCATGCTACAAGTAATGAAATTTGACAAAAAATTATATAAAAATGTTAAAAAAGACTATAATGATGATGATGAATAAATAAAAATACTATCTTTTGTTCAAATTATATGTTTTATTTTATGTGCCAACCACCTGGATTAGATAGGTATTAGTGGTAGAATTTAAGTAGAATTTTAAATAGGTCTTGGTAGATTTTGGTAGATTTGAGCATCGTTTTTGGTAGATTATCTGATGAAAAAGTGGTCACACTGGGTACGCGGCAAATGGCAAAATGGAAACTTCTGAATTAAATTATTTTTTTTAAGCTTTCGATGCTATAGAAACTGTGGAAACACTTTTTGAATCAAATTTATTTAGGCGACCACATTTATCGTGAAAGACCAGATTTTTTCACGAAATACGACGAAAAGATTTTTCACAAGATATCGGCATTCGAAAGCGAGTGTATTATTTCTATTGGCAAAAATAGAACACCTGTTAGAGTATCCAAAAAATGTATGTACAGAATATATTGTTATTTATGTATGTTGTTTTAAACTTTCATAATCATGTTGACGAGATGGCTATTCGTAAACAAAAATTATATCACAACCAACGGAAGGTCGGTGCCGTTAATTTCGGAGCAGGTCCTCAAGAAGGTGATGATGACGATAACGTACGTAGCATCACAGGCCTTAGTATTTATGTCGCTGACTGAAAATTTAAAACTCCCTGTAGGTTACTTTTTAATAGCAGGCAAAACTGCTGTACCACCTGTTTACAAAAATGGCATGACGTTGGAGTTTCAGTAGTAAGTGTTACATTTGATGGATGCTCTACAAATTTGTCAGTTGCTGAAATTCACTGCAGACCCTCCGTTTCCACTGCAGACATTCCCTGGTGGTATCGTGGGTCTCGTTAAAGAACTACACTTCAGACCCACGATACTCCTGGGAGTAAAGTTGACAAATGAGGACAGGCGCGGGCGCGGCGCGCGGATAGGGGGGCGCAACGCACGCGGCATAGTGTTGTTTGTGGAATACCTCTGAATTCTAAATTGATTCATTGAACATGCAATGAAAGGACATTGTCAGAAACCGCCTTAGATTCCTGGGCACAGCAGTAAAGTATCAAAATTAATCTCTTACTTTTTGAATACTTAAATATTAATTAGATTGTAACGGACACTTGAGGATTAAAAAATGAAATAATAAAAGTATTTTATATGTATTCCATAATACTATGACGACATCCGGACATTTTAGGGCGTGGCCTGCTCCNCACTGCAGACATTCCCTGGTGGTATCGTGGGTCTCGTTAAAGAACTACACTTCAGACCCACGATGCCCCTGAGAGTAAAGTTGACAAATGAGGAGGCGCGGGCGCGGCGCGCGGATAGGGGGGCGCAAGCGCAACGCACGCGGCATAGTGTTGTTTGTGGAATACCTCTGAATTCTAAATTGATTCATTGAACATGCAATAAAATTTATATCGCTAAAAATAAAAATAAAATAACAACAATTCATACCTACATACTCGTATAATTATTAATTAGTTTTAAATAAAGAGAGTTTGAGTAATTTATTGACGAGTTTTCGCTTATTAATGACGAGTCGACTGATCTTAGTACAAACACAAACACTTGTGCTTAGTCGTATAATTCTAACATTTATTGTGAGCATGAATTATAAAACTTGTTAACGCAATCAGTATTTTTTTTGGTATATCTGCCCAATGTAAGTCAGTATATTTCAGTATTTTTTTGAGGTGCCTCGGTATTACGTAAAATTTAATCTGGTCACACTGACAATGTCCTACAGACCGCTTCATTTCGCAAATGAAAACAAATTAAATATTAAGGAAGAACAGGCTTTGATTGAAACTGAGATTGCAGCACTGGAGGCCGTCATAAGACATATTATAACCATAACCGGAGCATAAAACCATGATAGATGGTAAAATCACTTCGCAACTGTCAAATACCTCAACGCAGACTTGTGACATCTGTAAAGCTACCCCTTCGGAAATGAATAAGTTGGAGAAAATCTCAAATCTCACAGTAAGTTTTAAATAATTTGATAAATTAATTTCAGATTACCGTAATGCTGTGTATATTTTTGTTAATTAATTCACTTTCTATCCAGAAAACCTGTTTCAACAGATATGTATAATATCAGTATGGTTTATCTACACTTCATGTGTGGATTAGATGTATGGAGTGCCTACTCCATATTTCGTATAGACTGGAGTCTGGACTTCAAAACATGGCAAGCCAGAAAAGAGTCATTGAAGAGTAGAAAACAAACCATAACAAAATAACCATCCGTGATGAAATGGGCCTCCTAGTAGACATCGTCAAACAAGGTGAGTTATGATAACAGTCGTTGTTCTTAAACTTTTTTTTTTTCAAGTAACGTTAGTTTTTTCTATGCAAAGTTGTGAATTAGTTTTAATTCATTTATAATTTTTATTTCAGGTTCCGGAACCACAAACGATGGAAACACATCAAGGATATTTTTTAGTAATCCTACCAGAACTGCAGATATTACAGTATTGGATGCTAATTTGATCCAAGCAACACTTGCGTGTGATGGCCTGTGGGGAGAGCCCATAAAAGTTGAGGCGTTAAAAAAAATTGCGCGCCAAACAGCAGAATTTTATGTGGAGCTCTATGGCTCACATGCACATGGTATCACATGCCTTTAAGTGTCCACAAACTTTTACTGCACCGGGCTGAAATGATTAAGCACTTCAATATCATGCCTATTGGCAAATTATCTAAAGAGGCATCGAAAGCCAGAAACAAAGACTCCAACGTTAATACGAGAACAGAATCGCGCAAATTTTGTCGAAAGCGACAAACGAAGACATCATCAATGGTTTCCTTGTCTCGTCAGACGAATGTGAATACACCTATTACTGACGATAAGAAAGTGAAATAATGATTGAGATAATAGGTTGTGAATGTTAACTTTTATAGGTTAAACTTTGGCGCAGTTTCGTGAAACAAACCATAATTTGTTTACTTTTGCAGGTCTGCAAGGGAATCGTATGGGGACGATGCCATTGGTTATGTGCAACTGCGTCGCGAGTCAGATTCAATACAATACAATTCATTTGCACAATGAAATGAGAATACAATTTATTTGCACAATGAAATGTAAGATACCTTGTGCACAGGACAAATCTTACATTTCTTGTCAAGGTGAGGAGCAGCTCTTACAACGTCACGATCATGGTATGGCAACTAGGAAAAGAAAGTTTCCATAAAGGATGATGGGCACCAATGTATGGAAAGTGGTACCCGCTCCAATAGCCATAACCAATATATATTGATATATTGAAGTGAGCCAAATTTCATTTTTTTTAAAACCTAATTTAAGTTTCCGTTTTATTGCTGAGGCTAATTATAGCCTAAAAATTAGAAACCTTATTAAATTACCTGACTGATAAGACCATAACGACATTTTTAGCTTCATTTTCCAGCTAATTAGAGCATTTAGAAAAAAGGCCGGTTCACTGTTCAACGATGCACCCTAATCGTACAAATCTTACATTTATAAAAAAATATGAAAGCTGGTTACAGTCTGACATTTCTTGGCCTAATAGTATTCAGAACAAACTAACTTCAGATTCCACAAACATGGATACTGACAATAGACCTCTACATCTCGTTTTGATGATGTTCCGGTTTCAGTTCAAGCTACAAGTTCAATGGGTACTTCTACTATAAAACTTTCTCCTAGAAAACCGTTCAGTGATTTGAGTCCCATTCAAAAGAAGCGAAGAAAGAAAAAAATTTAAATTATTTAATAATATCATCTGATCCTTATTTATCGTCTATAAGGCCAAAATTGAGACAAACAAGTAAAAAAGTTTTAACAGAAGATATGAAACATCTACTTTTTGGAAACTTTCGATTTAAGTTTTTTCCAAAACAGTTCAAGATACGACAAGGGACAACGGCTTCTATTTCAGATTTATTGTTTCTGTGCCCTTTCAGGCATTAGGGGATATTTTGAATCACCCTGTATTTGGACTGTCTTCCACATGAGGATGTTCGACCATGGTTTCAAGACGAAGGCATTATCGCAAGTGACGTTTGTTACAATTGTGGATATTACAATTCAAAGACGTTTTTAATCTCTGCGATCGAGTACGCCGATTTGTATTGCCCTCATTGTTATCAAGAAATGATAACGAATAACGTAGGGTAGACCGAAGGCAAAAGTAACAGGGGCCGTTGTAACATCGACAATATCTACAGTATCGTCCTGTGTATTTGCGCGTGTGTGCGTGTACTAACACATCTAGAGTCTAGACTCATTCGACACAACCAGTGTTGCAAACGTTCCCGATTTATCGGGAGATCTCCCGATTTCGGCTCTTCCCTCCCGATATCCCGATTTAACGACCTAATCTCCCGAATTTCCATTTCCTTTATTTTACTACTAAGGTGCCAAACAATTCTAAGGCCGACAACACTAAAACTAACCTGGTAACACTTAAACTATGCAGGGGAATTCCCCAATACTTCTCGCACGGCCTTTCACTACCGCAGTATACACAAAAGATATTGCATCGAAACGCATTCACAATAAGGTTCAATATTGTTTAGAGGAAATTCCCTTAAAATAACAAACTCTCCACCGAATCTATTATAGGTCTCCTACACACTAAAAGATTTGTAGTAGAAAATGACCAAATATGTTATAATTTTAAGATAGAACATAAAATGTTTGAAAAAATTGCTGCCAAGAAATGGTATGAGCATTAATAAACCTAAAAATATACCTTTCTTTATTTTTAATAAAGTTTACAGTATTTAAAGTAAAGGTATAGACTTTTTTTTAAATCACCCGATTTCTCCCGATTTTTGGCTAGAAAATTTACCGAATTTTATTTTTTGACTTTTGCAACACTGGACACAACGCCAATCGCGCGAGCGACGCCGTGCGGAGTGGTCGCCTGCTAATCGCCATTTTGTTTTTCGGACGCTCAAGGCACCTCAAGGTGAAATCGAAATGCCCAATATGATCAAGCATACGAGGAGATCTGTCAAAGGCGCTCAGTTCGTGCTGCCGCAAGAATATTAATTGATCTCTGCCATGTCTCTTTATCAAGGTACCAAAAAAAGAGAAACTGCTCCCGAAGGCCACACAGTAAGTATGGGCTACAATACGGCTACCAAAATTTTTACTGAAAGTCAAGAAACGTGAGTATGTGATAAGAACGGCAGATATATTATACTACAGACTGTCCCCAAAAGAAATAAGAAGATTAGCGTTTGACTTAGCCAAACATTACCACATCACGCACGAGGCCAGCATCTTGGTCCCAAGAATGAGTATGCAAGTGAAGACTGGCTCTCCGGCTTCATGAATTTTACCTCGACTGTCGGTTGGTAATTATTCATAATAACCGGCGATTATTAATAATTTTCAATTTATCACATTACCGTAACAAATACAATAGTAGTCTTTGGTCACGATGGTGATAGACGAGAATGAGGGTGAAGTTGTTACTGTTGTTAGCTCAGTGCTTGGACTGTGCAGCTTCAGCTGGTGGCTGTAAATATGCATGCATCTATCGTCGCACAGAGGAACCTTCTTGCACTGAGGTGGAATGTTTCTGAAAAAAAAAACCAAGGCTCTCCAGAGTAAGTACGACCTTGAAATATGTGACTATGGAACAGTTGTGCAAGCAAGCTTCACAATGTGAAACTAAAACTAGCCTCTTCACTGAGTTTGTTCATGAAGCGAAAAAATGGAAAATTACAACTTGTTCACAGTTCAAATTCAACTGCAAATGTTTGTTACCAAAATGAGAAAAGGTTACTTTTGTGTAGCTCGGGTGAGAGGCCTAAATTGCCATCTATGCCAATCGTTGCAATTATTATCAATAGCGCGTTAATTTTTGTGCTTCCGTAGTTTTTTTTTATCAATTCTAGAGTCAAGAAAAATGCCGAAAGTTGCAGATGGAGGTTCTTACTATAAAAAATATACTGAGGAAGACGTCAAGAATGCTATTAAGGTAAGGTAAGGTATGCCTAAAAAAATGCAGCGACTAAGTATGGCGTGCCTAGGCCTACTCTGCAATTTCGTTTGAGTTCTCAGTTTATAAAAACTAAGCCAGGACCAGCTACCGTTTTAACAGATGAAGAAGAAAAAACTTTAGTAAAGTGGATAATACATTGCAGCAAAAGAGGGTTTCCTCGAAGGAAAAAGGATGTACTTTTTAGTGTTGAGCAATTTTTGATAAAAAATCCAAGACCTAACAGCTTTATAAACAATAAACCAGGTGAAGGGTGGTATCGCCTATTTCTCAAACGAAATCCAGAGATAGTAAGCAGAACTGCTGAAGCTGTAACTGCTGCAAGCGCAAATGTTTCAGAAGAAAACATACGGAAGTGGTTTGGACAAATAGAAGAAATTTTACAGGAAAATCAATGGCTGGACATTCTTCATCACCCGTCTAGAATTTTTAATGGTGATGAGACCAATTTTCAACTATGTCCTAAAAACACAAAGTGAAAAAGGTAATAGGAACGTGTACGAAATCGACCATGCCCAAGCAAAGAGCTGCCTCACCGTGATGTTTACCTTCTCTGCGAATGGGAAAACCAGTCCGCCTATGGTTATAATATCCTTTGAAGATAATGCGCGCAGACATTAGAACTATTTTTTATATTGACATCTGCTGTACCGCTTATCAAGCAAATAAATGGATTTTGATTTGATTTGATTTCAACCAACGTGCAAACAGAAGAATTCAAACTGATTGACCTGAGATATCTTGCAGTGACCTAATTCCATTTAAAAAGGTGTGTGAATGTGAAACAGTGAATTACAAAATTAGAAACAATTTCTCCTTAAGCTCAAAATCATTTTACAGCTGGAGCTGTCTATGGCCGCGAGTGATTGCCACAAGAAAAGCTCAGAAATAAGAGCGGCCATATTATTGCACCTGTTGGACAAGGCCCAAGGAAAAAAAGAAGGAATTTGACTAAGTACTAAAAGCCCTAAAAGATAACTGCATGCCTAAAAGTAATGGAAGCATAAATAGGCATATATTTTTCAATAGAAATCAGACGGAAGGTGAAAGTATAATAATAATAGCTTCAGCTGAGCTATAATATTAAGCTACATAGAGATAAATACATAGCTCAGCTGAAGAAACTCGCAGTGACCTGCAATTTTTTGAGGGGCTGCGTGACAGTCTCGTTAAGTACAGATTGATAGGTGGAGTGGAATAACGGATAAAATTTCGGATCTCCTGCCGGAATCCTCTGCCGGATTGCTTTGCAATAAAATAAGGTCGCGTTTAAGTGACCAGAGTTTAGATGCTTTTATTGAGAACTTATTACAAGGAGCAAAAGGCTATCAAAAAGAAATAATTTATTGATTTATAAAAAAATATGTGGTTAATTTCGATGAATGAAAGTAATGAAACATTGATTGTTGCCCTTGATTTAAGACTAATTATGTATTTCAATTTCTATTCTTAGAATTTATATTTTAGTTTAATATATTTTATTTAGGCTATGAAAAACAGATAATTTACTGTTATCAAGAAAAAAAAATTGTTAAGTTGGATGAAAAAGACCGATTGTTGTACCTCAATGAAAACTAATTACTTTACTTTTTTAGAAGATTTTAGAAGTAGATTTTTTAAGTTTTTTATTTTATTTTAGAGAAAAAAAAATGTAAAAATAGAAAAATATTGTATCTTGTCTGTTGATTATTTCTAGTCTATTCAAAGAAGTGTTATTTCAATAAAAAAAAAACATAAAATCGGGGCCCCGATTTTTTCAGACCAGACCCAAAAAACCCGGTTCCTCAAAACCAGAACTAGGTATTAGAAAAAATATCATTTTGGGCTGAGATGAAAGGTAGGTTTCGAAAATGTAGAAAACTCTTGTTTTTAAAAATAATTAATGATTTATTCGACATTTTGTATTCGAGACCGGTTACCTACGTGAGTGCGACAAACGTTACATCGAATTTTGTTTCTTCGAAAAACTTTCTGCGAAGTTATTATACTGCGACGCTTCATTATATCGACGTCATGTTACTGCGATGTTTCGTTACATCGAAAGACTTTACTGCGAACAATTTTTCTGCGATAGTATCATACTGCGAAGCCTTGTTCAATTACACGTCTTGTTATGGTTACTTAGGGAAACTGATTTCAATGATCCTAACGTTAAAGTTTCTAGAATTTTTAACATGACTTTATAAACAGAGAGCCTGTGCCTAATTTGTAGTGACCGACCGAATATTCGTTTTCGTTTTCGGCCATTTTCGGCCAAAAAATGGACATTCGGCCATATTTTCGTTTTCGGCCAAAAACCAGCCGAAGCTTCGGTCAAACCGAATATCAGAAATACGTGAATAAGATGGTGACGTTTATCGTTCCTATATCTTCGGGAGTGAATCTGGTGCACTCATGGTTCCAATCAGANACCGTAACATATACAATAGTAGTCTTTGGTCACGATGGTGATAGACGAGAATGAGGGTGTAGTTTTTGGACAATTTCACACAGCGCCAGCTAGCCCCAAAGTAAGCAACTTAATGCTTGTGTTATGGGTGCTAGCTTAACGGATATACTACTTATATACTTTTTTTTTTTAAATACATACATATTATACATAGTAACACCCAGACCCGTCACAGAAATTAAAATTCATCATTTCAATTTCTGCCCGGCCGGGAATCGAACCCGGGACCTCTCGGCATAGTAGTCCGTTCTGAACCACTACACCAAACGGCCGACNACGCCAAAACTACTGAACTGATTTTGTGTAAACTTAACAGTATTATTGTTTGTAACCTAGATTAACATACAGTCTATAATTTATGACAATCAGTGACAAACTAAATTTTAAGCGGGTGGAGCCGCTGGCAAAAGCTACTAAAAATACCTTCATTATTTGTGCAACATAAATCATACTGTTCATACATAATAATAATATAAACATACATTATCATATTCCATTATTTAACTTACATATTTTAGGGGTTACCTACGTCAGTGCGACAAACGTTACATCGAATTTTGTTTCTTCGAAAACCTTTCTGCGAAGTTATTATACTGCGACGCTTCATTATATCGACGTCATGTTACTGCGATGTTTCGTTACATCGAAAGACTTTACTGCGAACAATTTTTCTGCGATAATATCATACTGCGAAGCCTTGTTCAATTACACGTCTTGTTATGGTTACTTAGGGAAACTGATTTCAATGATCCTAACGTTAAAGTTTCTAGAATTTTTAACATGACTTTATAAACAGAGAGGAAAGGAATGGGAGAGGGATTGGATTTTTTTATTACGACCACCTTTACATACTTTTTATAAACCTTTACATACTTTTTGTACCATAGACCTATTAAGAAAAATAATAAACTCAGTGTCAAATGAGCATTTGTTTGTTTCACTCACATTCTTCCTACTAATATTATAAATGCGAAAGTTTGTATGGATGTCTGGATGTCTGGATGCTTGTTACTTTTTCACGCAAAAACTACTGAACGGATTTTGATGAAACTTTACAGTATTATTGTTTATAACCCAGAATAACATATAGGCTATAATTTATGACGATCTGTGACAAACTAAATTTCACGAGAGTGAAGCCGCAGACAAAGTTAGTGTTGTAATAATACTTATGCCAGGTGCTTGAGGTTTACTGTGAGGGTTCTATGACTTAAGTGGGTTGATGAAAAAATTGCTGAAATGAATGACTCAGTGATAATAGAAAAATCTAAACGCGGAAATGACATACTGATTAATAGTGGTTATGAGTTTTGTTTGAACAAAAATGTGAATGACAAATTTTATTGGTGCTGCGTGCACAAGCAAAGGAAGCAGTGTTCCAGTACTATGACAACCGAATTTTCTGAAGGTAATGGGCATTCCGTAGTTAAAGATATGACTGAACACTCTCACTCTCCTGACGCTTCATTATTGTCGTCAATATCATTTAAAAACAAGTTAAAACAAGACGCGGCTGCCACTTCGATAAAACCTGTACAGATAATTCAGGCTAATTTGGAAGCTGTACCAAGCACAAGTGCATCGAGCCTGCCAAATAAAAATGCCATGAGGCAAGTTATATATCGCGCTAGAAAAAAAAATAAACCTAAAGAACCGCTGACTTTAGATGATATTGATATACCATCTGAATATGTTTTCGTCGAAGGAGAACGGTTTTTGGCGCGTGACACGAAATATGGCGGAAAAAATCGCATGTTGTTATTTTGCACTAAGCAAAATATAAAAATACTTTCCGAGTCATTAGTTTGGTTGATGGACGGAACTTTTAAAACTTGTCCAGCCTTGTTTCGTCAGATCTATTCCATTCATGCTATAGTTGGACATGATGATAAAACCAAAAAGACAATACCGTTGGTTTACTGTCTATTGACCGATAAAACAGAAGAGAGCTATTTGGTTTTTATAAGAGAACTTAGATCATTTGCTGCAGAATATGAATATGAATTGAATCCACGCCATATTGTAACTGATTTCGAAATTGCAATCATAAACATAATCAGGATTGATTTCCCTGATGCTCATCATCAAGGTTGTTTATTCCACCTTGGTCAAAATGTGTGGAGGCAGATACAACGATCTGGGTTAGCTTCGCGCTATGGCAGTGATAGTGACTTTTCACTGAAATTGAGACATTTAATTGCTCTGGCCTATCTTCCGCCTGATGAAATCCCCGAAGCCTTCAAATCACTCAAGGAAAGCGTACTACCTGAAGAAGCTCGAAGCGTCACTGAGTGGTTTGAAACTTACTATGTTTTGGGAAAACTTGTGTCTCAACCCAGTAATAGTACATCAGTCTTCATTTCAAGATCTTCGCCAATGTTCCCCCCGCAATTGTGGTCTATAAATACGAACAATCACCTGCGATTGCCCAGAACCCAAAATAAAGTTGAGGCATGGCATCGTAGGTGGAACAGTCTGTTAAATAATAACCGACATGGCCTGTATGAAACCATTCGGGAATTGAAGAAGGAACAAACCACCACCAACCATGCAATTGAAAAAACCTTAGCTTGCATTCCGAAGACCCCGCCCCGAAAAAAAATTAAAGAACGTTCGCATGCACTTTTAAAATTAAGCGAAAAACGGCATACTATGGATTTACTTCAATTTTTAAGAGGTGTGGCAAACCATACTGAATTGTAAATAGGTAATTTGTTTGTGCAGAGCTATAACTTTTGTTTATCGTTTTTATGTTTTTAATGTTATGTAATTGTACGTGGTTGTACCTTTCATTCATTTGTTGTTGTTCATTTTTACGCAGTTGGGNAAACCTAAAGAACCGCTGACTTTAGATGATATTGATATACCATCTGAATATGTTTTCGTCGAAGGAGAACGGTTTTTGGCGCGTGACACGAAATATGGCGGAAAAAATCGCATGTTGTTATTTTGCACTAAGCAAAATATAAAAATACTTTCCGAGTCATTAGTTTGGTTGATGGACGGAACTTTTAAAACTTGTCCAGCCTTGTTTCGTCAGATCTATTCCATTCATGCTATAGTTGGACATGATGATAAAACCAAAAAGACAATACCGTTGGTTTACTGTCTATTGACCGATAAAACAGAAGAGAGCTATTTGGTTTTTATAAGAGAACTTAGATCATTTGCTGCAGAATATGAATATGAATTGAATCCACGCCATATTGTAACTGATTTCGAAATTGCAATCATAAACATAATCAGGATTGATTTCCCTGATGCTCATCATCAAGGTTGTTTATTCCACCTTGGTCAAAATGTGTGGAGGCAGATACAACGATCTGGGTTAGCTTCGCGCTATGGCAGTGATAGTGACTTTTCACTGAAATTGAGACATTTAATTGCTCTGGCCTATCTTCCGCCTGATGAAATCCCCGAAGCCTTCAAATCACTCAAGGAAAGCGTACTACCTGAAGAAGCTCGAAGCGTCACTGAGTGGTTTGAAACTTACTATGTTTTGGGAAAACTTGTGTCTCAACCCAGTAATAGTACATCAGTCTTCATTTCAAGATCTTCGCCAATGTTCCCCCCGCAATTGTGGTCTATAAATACGAACAATCACCTGCGATTGCCCAGAACCCAAAATAAAGTTGAGGCATGGCATCGTAGGTGGAACAGTCTGTTAAATAATAACCGACATGGCCTGTATGAAACCATTCGGGAATTGAAGAAGGAACAAACCACCACCAACCATGCAATTGAAAAAACCTTAGCTTGCATTCCGAAGACCCCGCCCCGAAAAAAAATTAAAGAACGTTCGCATGCACTTTTAAAATTAAGCGAAAAACGGCATACTATGGATTTACTTCAATTTTTAAGAGGTGTGGCAAACCATACTGAATTGTAAATAGGTAATTTGTTTGTGCAGAGCTATAACTTTTGTTTATCGTTTTTATGTTTTTAATGTTATGTAATTGTACGTGGTTGTACCTTTCATTCATTTGTTGTTGTTCATTTTTACGCAGTTGGGTTTTTTGTTTATTCAATAAATATTTTTTTATCTTTTAGTTCATTTTTACGCATTTGTGTTTTTTGTTATTTCAATAATATTTGTATTTTAATCTTTTTAAAGTCTGTTCGCCGAGAGTTAATAAAAAAAAATGTCAGAGGTTCTAAACTCATTATAAATTGCGGCCCGCTAATTATTTTTGTCGATATAATGAAAAAGTTGGTAGATTATTTGACCTGGCCTTTTTTTTGGCCTGTATTCTCGGCTCGGTTACAATTTAATTTTGGACTACCATTTATAAGAATGTTCTAAAAATACCGATTATCTACCAAAATAAAACATTCTACAAAAGTATTGAGTATTGAGTATTGAGCCTCAAATCTACCAAAAAAGTAGAAATCTACTAAAAGTGGTCACGCTGTGGCCGCCGCCGCCCGCCGTACCATGGTACTCAGTGCGCGTTGTGACATACAAAATGCGATACTTAAGCGACAGTCGCTATTGCAAGACATTTCATAATATTTATCAACTCTCGGCGAACCGACTTTAGTTAAATAACATAAATTTTTGTAAGCTACTTAAAAAGCCCTTTATTTTGATCCCCCCCCCCTCCTACTAGATAGGTTTTGAGAAAATTACTTTTGTTTTGAGAAATAGTATCGCGATCGTCCCGCTCCGCCGCCCGTTTCGTGCGCGTTACCATATTATACTGTCCAGTCAATGCGTGTGCATCGCCGCCGCTCCGCCGTCGCATCACCTCGCCATCGCTCGGCGTGGTTCGGCTGTCGCCAGTTTCGTGCCCGCAGTTTCACTCTCACGATTAAGACGAATCTAACAACACCACTCACACTAAAATCGGTCAAGCCGTTTAGGGTGTAGGCCATGCCCAAGAAATATACATACACTAAGCGGCCGCCCGCGACATCGTACGCGTGGATCCCGTTTTACCCCCTTCATCTATCTTACGCGGNTTATGTTTGTAATGTTATGTAATTGTACGTGGTTGTACCTTTCGTTTGTCATTACTTAATCCATAAAGTTTCCATACTAATATTATAAATGGGAAAGTAACTCTGTCTGTCTGTTTGTCTCACTTTCACGTCAAAACTACTGAACCGATTTGAATGAAATGGCAATGCCAGATTTTGTATGGAAAGTGGCGTCTTTTTTTTTTCGCGCGGCCATCGACCAATCTTTGTGTTTTTCGATTACAAAATAGTGTAATAAACCAAACTTACTATGGCATGTATACCTCTAAACTCAGTCTGAACTGAGTCACGAGTATTAGAAGTTTGATGATTTTCATACTAGATTTGCTTTTTGTGCGCAAGTTTTGTAAGAAAATGCAACAAAATATTGCGCTATTTTTTTATTGCGCTGATTCTGCTCCATACTGATGTCTGGAGCCTTTAATGGATGGTATTGTTTGTTTACACATACAATATCACTATTTTGTTGCAATTTCTTACAAAACTTTGCGCGAAAAAAGCAAATCTAGTATGAAAATCATCAAACTTCTAATGCTCGTAACTCAGTTCAGACTGAGTTTAGAGGTATACATGTCATAGTAAGTTTGGTTTATTACACTATTTTGTAATCAAAAAACAAAGTTTGGTCGATGGCCGCGCGGAAAAAAAAAGACGCCAATTTCCGGCATTGTCTTTTGGTACACAGACAGTCCAGATTCTGAGAAAGGACAAAAGCTATTTTTAATGCGAAAAAGAGGTTATAAGGGGTTGAAGGGGGGATGAAAGGTTAAATGAAGCAATTAGAATGTTGAAACATATTTTTAAGGCTTTTGATTAGACATAAATAAAAATGTCATTTAAAGTTTCTAAGAATGTTACCCTAAGCCCTAAAGGGAGTAATACAATTAAGGGATGAAAGTTTGGGTGGAAATTCTTCACTTTTGAAGCTAGAACGATACGTACTTTTTCTATTTTTTTCGATAGGGATACTCCCGATGTGATCCCACTGTCACCAAGTCAGAGTCTGATGATGGAATCCTAGGGAAATTGCGGCAAACCCTCTAATGTTATGGTATGTTAAATATTCAAGCATCTGAAATTCATCATTTCATGTTGAGCTGATGATTTATTGTTAATTTATCTAAATAATATGTTTTAGTTTTCTTTAAATACATAGCTTATTTAAGTATTTACGCACGTGTGTCTTATCTGTAAAATAATTAGACTAAATTATTAAAACTGCCTGCCCAAAGTCATTATTCCACGCGGACGAACACAGCTAGTCAAAAATAAAAAAGGAAAAATTTATCTATGTTAAGGAGTTTTTTATTTATACTAGCTGACCCGGCGAACTTCGTATCGTTCGAATTTGCGTAAAAATGAAATGCAGTCGGAGGCATCAAATACATCACCAACAACAAAATTTGTCATTGATGCCTCCGACTGCATTTGTGAACACTAAGTTGTCTTGTTTTTATCTTTTTTTTAGTTCATTTTTACGCAGTTGGGTTTTTTGTTTCTTCAATAAATATTTTTTTATCTTTTTAGTTCATTTTTACGCATTTGTGTTTTTTGTTATTTCAATAATATTTGTATTTTAATCTTTTTAAAGTCTGTTCGCCGAGAGTTAATAAAAAAAAAATATCAGAGGTTCTAAACTCATTATAAATTGCGGCCCGCTAATTATTTTTGTCGATATAATGAAAAAGTTGGTAGATTATTTGACCTGGCCTTTTTTTGGCCTGTATTCTCGGCTCGGTTACAATTTAATTTTGGACTACCATTTATAAGAATGTTCTAAAAATACCGATTATCTATCAAAATCTACTAAACGATTACGCACTACTAAATCATCGTTCTCTTTGCCTCAAATCTACCAAAAAAGTAGAAATCTACTAAAAGTGGTCACGCTGTGGCCGCCGCCGCCCGCCGTACCATGGTACTCAGTGCGCGTTGTGACAAACGACGCCCGCCATACAGAATGCGATACTTAAGCGACAGTCGCTATTGCAAGACATTTCATAATATTTATCAACTCTCGGCGAACCGACTTTAGTTAAATAACATAAATTTTTGTAAGCTACTTAAAAAGCCCTTTATTATTTTGATCCCCCCCCCCCTCCTACTAGATAGGTTTTGAGAAAATTACTTTTGTTTTGAGAAATAGTATCGCGATCGTCCCGCTCCGCCGCCCGTTTCGTGCGCGTTACCATATTATACTGTCCAGTCAATGCGTGTGCATCGCCGCCGCTCCGCCGTCGCATCACCTCGCCATCGCTCGGCGTGGTTCGGCTGTCGCCAGTTTCGTGCCCGCAGTTTCACTCTCACGATTAAGACGAATCTAACAACACCACTCACACTAAAATCGGTCAAGCCGTTTAGGGTGTAGGCCATGCCCAAGAAATATACATACACTAAGCGGCCGCCCGCGACATCGTACGCGTGGATCCCGTTTTACCCCCTTCATCTATCTTACGCGGTTTAGATTTTTTCATACAAATGTTTTTTCCCGCTAACTCCTGTTTCGTGGGAATTTTGGGAATTCCTTTCTTAGTGCACCTCTACGGTACCTAAGCTACGACCCTTCCAAATTTCAAGTGCCTACGTTTAGCCGTTTAGGCTATGCGTTGGTATGTCAGTCAGTTAGTCAGTTTCTCCTTTTATATATTTAGAAGATTAGATACATACACTCGAAAAACATAACCCTCCTTCTGGCGTAGGCAGGTAAAAAATCTTAGGTATCGTTTTGAAAAAGAAAATCAATGT